TTTAAAGATAATTCCCCAATTCAAAAATTTAGTAACTATGTATTGCCAACATAATGTCATTTTGACTTTTATCTTTAAAAAAAAACCCACTTTAGATACGTTAACACAACATTTAATAGGTATTTAATAATTCAGAGGAGGAACGAAGTTCGCCGGGTCAGCTAGTTAAAAAATAAAATCCACACAAATCAAAATAATCCGTTTTCAAAGTGTCTGTACCGAACTACTCTGTTCGGCTATTGAACTCAGTACCAGTTTTAGTTGAACCCCGTTCAATTATTGGTTCCATAATCTTTGATAAAGTCTGTTTTTTTTTTAAAAGATAATTCCCCAAGTCAAAAATTTAGTAAATGTTTGCAACACAAGCTTTTTCTACATAAAAAATTTGAAAGCATTGACAATTTTACATTGTATTGCCAACATAATGTCATTTTGACTTTTATCTTTAAAAAAAAAACCCACTTTAGATACGTTAACACAACATTTAATAGGTATTTAATAATTCAGAGGAGGAACGAAGTTCGCCGGGTCAGCTAGTTAAAAAATAAAATCCACACAAATCAAAATAATCCGTTTTCAAAGTGTCTGTACCGAACTACTCTGTTCGGCTATTGAACTCAGTACCAGTTTTAGTTGAACCCCGTTCAATTATTGGTTCCATAATCTTTGATAAAGTCTGTTTTTTTTTTTAAAGATAATTCCCCAAGTCAAAAATTTAGTAAATGTTTGCAACACAAGCTTTTTCTACATAAAAAATTTGAAAGCATTGACAATTTTACATTGTATTGCCAACATAATGTCATTTTGACTTTTATCTTTAAAAAAAAAACCCACTTTAGATACGTTAACACAACATTTAATAGGTATTTAATAATTCAGAGGAGGAACGAAGTTCGCCGGGTCAGCTAGTATCACATAAAAGTTCATCCTAAAAATTTAAATTTAAGATTTTTTTTTTAAATGTTAACAACTTAGTTTACTGTTTCTTTAAAAGGTTTTGGTGGAAGTTCCCTGACACTCACTGGCAATTTGTTGAAAAGCCTAACTGCTGTATATTCAGGCCTGCATTGCGATTTTGTCAAGCGGCAAAAAGTTGGTCTTTAAGTCCCCCCCATAACGTGTTGGATTGTCATGTATGTCATGATGCGTGTCAAAATTACTCCTATTATATCTGACATATTTAGATGGATAAAAGCTGAAGGAAAAGTGAGAATGTTGAATTCTGAGAATGCCATCTTGCAGTCCTCACGATACCCCAAACCTGCCAGTATTCTTATTGCTTTTCTTTGTAGTGCAAAAATGCTCCTTGCAGAGCTAGCTGTACCCCATGCTATTATACTCTAGGTCATGGTGGAGTGGAAAAGCGCATAGTAGGCTGTTTTTAGGGTGTCAAGCGAGACAGAGTCTGCTAGGTTTCTCAAGAGAAAAACGCTACTTCACAGCCTCTTGCATACTACTTCAGCCTGATGATCTCATTTCAGTTTTGGATCTAGGTGGATGCCTAAGAGTTTCACAGTTTCCTCATTGTCCCTGCCATGGGTGTCTCTGAGGGAGAATATAATTTTTTGAATTTTATTTACGTTTATTTGAATCAAATCACAGTTTACCCTCGACTGTGCCTCCATTGCTCCCTCCTCAGCCTCTTTTAAGATTTTTTTTGCTACTCTTGGTGATTGTGTCATCAGCGTACTGACCAAACTTTGCCCCAGGGTCACACATTGGCAGGTCATTAACTAAGATCAAATCCGCTCTCCCGATGACACACACCCCCCACTCTAACTATCTGTGGCCTGTCTGTGAGATAGGATTTTACCAGATTAAGGCTGTTTTGATCAAATTTGTATAGTAATAGTTTTTGCTGAGGTCAAAGAACTGTGTTATGTTGTAGTTTCCTTCCTCAAAATCATCCATGACAGTGGACACAAGGTCCATAATGGCCATGGTTGTATTCCGCTTTGACCTGAAACCGAATTGACAGCTTAAAAAAATTTCAATTTGTTCAAAGTGTTTTTATATGTGATTTACCATGCACCTTTCCATTACATGTAATTGGCAGAAGTGAAATGGGTCGATAATTAGATACATCCAACTCGTCACTCTTTTTAAAGATGGGTGTGACTATAGCCCTTTTTAGGACTACCGGGAAAACACCCTGTTGAAAACATTGATTTATTAGCATTCGTAATGATGAAATGATGATATGTTTTATGTGTTTGGGGTGTTTTACAGAGAAGCCATAGATATCTGTACTATTTTTATTTTTTAGATTTTCAATTATATTTTTGACTTGACTTTCTGAAACCTGATTTAAAGAGAAGAAGTTGTCTGGAAGACTGTTCTATTTGATTTGAATTGCTATAGTCTCGGCTATAGTGCTAAAGTAATTATTGAAATTATCTGGTTCTTTTTCTGGTTCTCTGTTTTTTTCTATTTGAACGGCCTCGTTGTTGGTTTATGATACTCCACATGCATATTTAGTGGGATTTTTTGCAGTTTTTATCATATTGTGATTAGCTTCTTCTAGTAAGAGTTATACTCATTGAGGTTATACTCCTCCCGATTGCCTGGAGTATTGTATAAGTTTTTGTAAGCATTTAGGAAATTTAGTGTCTGCCTCATATTGTGGAGAGTTTCAGTAAACTACTCGACTTTATGTAGACTGTTTTGTTATCTGCCAAATGATATTGATTCACTCATTATTGGTAAATGAAACGTGGTCGTTAGTATCAAGACCCGATTATAAAAATATAGTGGATTGTAAATGGATATTTTCCATTGAAAATGATGAAATTGGAAAACCATTTAGATACAAAGCTTACTTAGTTGCTGGTGGTTTTAGTCAACATTACTTGGTAGATTATAATGAAACCTTTACAGAGGTGGCGAGAATCGTAGGTTTCTGGTTTATAATGACCTTTTTAATTAGTTTACCCTTTTAGTAAGTACATCATATAGATGTAAAAACAGCTTTCCCGAATGGGACATTGAAGGAAGCCATTTTTATGAAGGTTCCTGAAGGCTGAAGGGTGGCTGGCTCAAGGTGTGACAAGTAAACCTAACCAAGTTTATAAGGCTTTGTATCTATGGACTAAAACAAACCACTAAATGTTGGTTTGAAATAATAGATAGTAAAAATTCATCAGTTAACCACTGTATTTATATCTTAGACAAAGGTGCAATATGTAAAATTATTTATGTAGTTCTGTAGATGGTATTTGCCACTGCAGATAATAATACATTGAATAGTTTAAAAAGGGATTTGGCAAATAACTGTTCTATGTTTTATTTGAAAGACAGTAAACTATTTTTGGGTAATAAAATTAAAAGGTAATCAAAAATAAAGTTATCTACTCTTGATCAATTTTCATATAGGTACAGTTCAAATGTACATGAAAACTATTTTACATAAATTTAATATGAATGACTGTTGTGCCATCAGCTGTGTCAGCACTCCACTTCCTAGTAAACTGAATTTGATTGGTTTAAATTCAGAAGTAAAACATGATAGCCCTTGCCGGAATTTAATCGTCTGTTTAATGTATATTATGTTATGTATATTAAGCCTGATTTAAGTACCACTGTTAATATTTTGAGCAGGTATTAAAACAAGAATATTAAAGAGTTTTGGCAATATTTGAAAAGGGTCCTTAGATATCTTAAGGGTAAAATCAATGTGAAGTTGACACAATATTTTACTTGTGAATGTATCAATTTCTTGAGTGATTCTATTAATCCTGACTAGGAAGGTGGAGATGATAATATAAACAATATAAAAGCACAACAGGATATTTATTTAAACTGTTTGAAATTTCTGTGATATGTTGGAATACAAAAAGGCAGTTGTCAGTAACGGCATCATCTACTGATGCCGAATATATGGTTTTTCTTTTTGAAGAGGCTCTTTGGTTGAAATAATTAGCAGAAAATATGCGTAAATATTAATATCAGAGTCAATTATGACCTAGGAGGATAACAATAGACCTCAATAAGTATTACAAATAATCCAACAAATCGCAAAAGATCAAATCATATTGAATTGATCGTAATTAGTATAAAATATTAATTTTTTTCACAGATAAACCACTAGCAGACATGTTTACCAAACCATTGATGCAAGAGAAATTTGAGAAATTAGAATGGAATTAGGCTTATTAAATAAGTTAAATGGTTTGATTAGGTTTTTCTGGGTTTTCCCTAATCCCGAGCAGCAAATGCTGGACCGTTATTGTAATTTTCCCGAGAAAAGACACACATAAGGAAAGCAGGCCTATTTATGTTATACTAGGTTTAAGTTGTATTACACTTTTAGTAAAATTGATCAAATTTTTGAGGTGGCGTGTTGGATAAACTGATATTCATATCAGTGAAACAAAAATTAATAAATTAAACTTTCATTATTAGTCTATACTTTGCTAATTTATATCGCAGCTATGGATGACTGAATGTGTTTATAATAGTTTTTATATGTAAGATAAACAGATGAGGAATCGTTTACTTAAGAAAGAGTTTGTCTTGATGTTGAGTCAGTTCGTATAGTTATTTCTATGAGTTCACACGCTCTGCTTTCCGCTGTGTTCGATATAATAAATATATTGAATATCGATAATTAACAAGTTCTTTTATTTCTTAGTCCATTTCCCAACAGTTCCAGCTACTGGAACCGTGTAAATCCCCCTTGGGCTGATTACCACCATATCGCGTAACAAAACTTCTGTCAAGGCGAAATTCAATTTCGAATTTAAATTTGAACCACAGAAGCATAAAAATTTTATCCAAGAAACAAGTTTGGCGTGTTCTATTGATTTAATTATTATTGTAACAGGAAATTCCAAGCTTTGATTACCTTTTACAAGAAATTTTCTACAATACACTCCCACATACACGGTTTTGGTTGGAAAACCCATTATAAAATATTAAAAGAATTTTGATGATAATCAAGAATTCAACTTTAAAAAAAATCCTAATTGTGTTGATTCTTCAGAATATTATTTTATTTCCAGAAATATGTAGACGATATTTGCCTGGAAGGTTGCAACCAGACCAAAACCGGCGAAGACTCCAGCTACGATTCGGATTGTGAAGATCAGCAGGGACATCAGGACGTGTCCAGAACGGCCAGCGACACTTTGGCCGCCGAATATGCAGAATATGTTCAACAGGACGTTGTCGGGAACAGTAGCCCCGGCTACAACACTAGAGTGGAGTTCGCCCTAAAGTTGGGCTACACAGAGAAACACGTCCAGGCAGCCCTACAAAAATTGGGGCCTGCGCCGACACAAAATGAGCTTTTAGCTGAGTTGATCAAGTTGGGAGCGCAAAAAGGGGGATCGTGCGATAGTAGTCCTACGGATAGTCTTATTAGTGATTTAGGAATTTTGGATAGGTGAGTCAAAATTTTAATTTAGTTTTGTTTTTGAATGAATAAGTTAAATTTCAAAATTATTCGATAAGTTTCTGAATAATTTTTCACATAAGTAATAGTAAAGTTCTTCTTAAATCACCTTTGAAGGTTCCTAAAAAATACTTTGAACCATCTCAGTGACTTAAAATTTTTAAGATTTATTGATTAGAATTATAAGTCCAAATGAGCTGAAATTCTCCTTCACTGAGATAAAAATCACTGAAAATTTCAGCTTTCTATTTATAATAGAAAAAAAAGTTATATGGGACTTCAAAATTTTTAAAAATCCAAAACATTACCATTTGCCTAGCTCCTGGAACAAAATATTTCATATGAAGAAATGTTTTTTTTTTTCCAGGTTTGATATTGAAAGTACCGCTAATCCAACTTTATTAAGGCCCATCGTTGTAGATGGCAGCAATGTAGCCATGAGTCATGGCAATAAGGAAATATTCTCTTGTAGAGGCATTAAGATTTGTGTTGATTGGTTCAAGGTAGATTTGTTTAATTTGGCAAATATGTTATATAAATAATTATGATAATTATTATTAGGCTCGCGGTCATACGGCCATAACAGTTTTCGTGCCCAAATGGCGCAAAGAAGCACCTCGGCCCGATAATCCTGTCCGAGATCAGGAGATTTTGGCGGAATTGGAAAGAGAAAGACTTCTAGTATTCACCCCCTCGCGTTTAGTGGGTGGAAAAAGGATGGTGTGCTATGACGACAGGTACATTTTAAAACTAGCAGCTCAATGTGACGGTATTGTAGTCAGCAACGACAACTATAGAGACTTGTGCCAGGAAAACTCTGAATTCCGGAAAGTTGTTGAAGAACGGATATTGATGTACTCGTTTGTCAATGATCATTTCATGCCCCCTGATGATCCTTTGGGCAGATCCGGACCCACTTTGGATAATTTTTTACGGACTCAATCCAGAAAAGGAGACGTTGCAACTGCGCCATTGCCACCGCCTTGTCCTTACGGAAAAAAATGTACTTATGGAAATAAGTGTAAATATCATCATCCGGAAAGGGGGCCGTTGCCTCATAAAAGCGTTACTGAACGTCTCAGTGAGCATGCTCAACGACATTTACAAGCCAGAGAAAGTAAAGAAGGTAATAATAATAATTAACTATAGAGTTTGCAAAATTTGGAACATTATTTCTTTTAGGTGATATACGTAAAAATCCTCTAGGCCGTACAAGGTCTAATGTACCACCTCCAAAAGAACCCCAACAGCACGCAATAGTATCAAAATCGCGCAGCGTAGACAACGTCGGCGTATTGACCACCTCCCATCAGTCCTACCAACCTGACCCCTTTGGTTTCCAAACAACCCCCGAAAAAGGCCCATTTACCAGTTCCTATCAGCAACCCTGTGGCGAAAATTTGCACAGAAAACTGGCCAGGCAATTGACGTTGAATCCAGCTGGAAACGATCCACGTTTGATGTCCAGGCGGTACCCGAGTCCTGGATATTTGGGCGGGTCGACTTGGGGTGATTTACATCAAGGAGTCACCAGGATTGCTAGCGCTCCGGATTCGTATAGGAGTCAGGCTAGTGGGTGGGCGACTTCTGGAATGCCAACTCAACAACAAGACGTAAGAATTTTCACTATAAAAATTTATTTATTTATTTATTTATTGACGGGAAATCCCATAATAGTATACAGAACATATCACATTAACAGTACAGAAATGAAAAATGTTGATAAATCACATTGATTTCGTCTGGCAGCTAAGAGTTGTAGGTTGAAGCGTCAGTAGAGGTCATCATAGTTGTAAATATAATTTTCGGAAGGAGGAATGTCTGCCTTGAAGGCCAAGTATTGTACAAATTTACGTTGTACCTGCTCCAAGGCATTGATGTGGACAGAATACATAGGTGACCAAACCGAGGAGCATTACTTAAGGATGAGCCTTGTCATTGTGCAGAAGAGAAGTCTGATAAAAGAGATGTTAGTGAAGTCCCTTGACCACCTTTTACCAAAGCCCAGCAGTTTCAGGGACCTGATAGCGATATCCAAAATGTGGCTGAAAAAGCTTAACATGTTATCAAAAATGACACCGACATCACGTTCTTGGAACTGGAATTGTCGGCTAGGTCCCAGAAATCCTGGCCCCATATACTGGATTTACTCTTAAAATTGAGTCTACGAAAAATTACCTTGCTAGGCCAAAATCCACACGGGTGCGCTGCCAACTTTAAATGAATTTGTTTTCCCTAAAGTTTTAAGTTCAACTATTAAATTATCCTCACTAACAGGCAGTTTTTTGGTTATGCACTTACAAATTATAAAAGAACTAACAGAAGGCGAAACTTTACCAATATAAAACCACATCTTGCTACTACAAATTCTCTTCTATTTATGTTTTAATTTAATTCTTTTTCAGCAACAATCAACGTCTCAGCAAATGCGCCATCACATGCAACGCATGTCAAGCTGTTCAGATTCGCAATTGAATGTCTGGCCATCTGGCCAATGGAATCCCATGAATCATCCGGAAGACGCGCGTCGAAGACTCCACTATCATTTGGCTGCTATTTTTCCAGAAGAACAAGTAATGGCAGTGATGCAGTTGTATCCGGACGAAACAAATGCGCAAAAAATTTGCGCTGCCATTTTGGCCATGTTCCAGAATAAATCGTAAGTGAGTAATTTCAATACTAAATAGGAAAATTTATATTAATCAACCTTCATATTGAAGTGATGTCAGGTGGATATATAATTATTAGGGCACACAATGTTTTTTTAGCTGTCGCCACACGAATAATTAATTGTTAGGATAATTAATAAATTTAGGTTTATTTGTCTGTATAAAGTTGACGATACTGTGTATCTCTAGTAAAATTGTTGCAATTTTTAACATTATTATTATCATAGATGTATTTGCATTAGTTGAAAAATTATCGATATTAAATGTGGTATGTACATTTGATGTCTTAAATGTAGGCAATTGAATTAATTTTACATATTTTCAAATTTTTGTGGTGATCTACATTTAATAGAAAAATGAAATCAAAAATACTCTTATTTTCAAGGCTGTTAATTCAATAATTTTTCAGGATAGGTAACTTTTTTTTTATATATTTATAATATTTAGTAATAATATATTTTACTTTTTGTTGGTAACTCATTATTTATTTTTTTATTAAAAAAAAAATTACATATAAAATTCTTGTTTGTCTTATCCCGAGCCCCTCTGAAATAAAACAATGTAAATTGTTGAATCACATTATTACTTTTTTATTATTACCATTAAATAATATTTATCATTATTCTAAATTATTATATATTACAAATTATTTAATAAAATATTCAGAAAGAGTATTATTTGGAATAATGGGACACTTTTAAGTCCTTATACAGAATTGGGTTAATTTACAAGCAAATAATACAAAAAGCTGTACAAAAAAAAAAAATACAATTATATACAAAAGATTACAATAAAGCCATTTTTCATTTTAATACTGTAGATTTGGCATATACCCATTAAGCTACAAAATAACTGGAATAAAAATTAAATGGTTAGAGGTCCATCAACCTAAAATATTGCGATCTTTGGATTCTTTTTTTAGGCAGTGTCGGACGGTTTCCTTCTGTGGTTGTGTCACGCCGACGTTTCGTTTTCACCCCAGCCTTCAGAGTCACACTCGCTGTCGCTGCCACCGGAATCCGAATCGGAAAATTCTACTGCGACTCGGCGGGCCAAAATACTTGCAACATCGTGTAATCCGTTGACTCCGCGGTCTACTTCTTGACGTTGTTCGCTTTTTTCCACTTTGCGTAGCTTTATACCGTCACGGATTGCCTGAAAATAATTGTCAATGGATTAAACCTTGATATGATAATTATTTGCTTAAAAACTATAAATAGTAGAAATATGCACTTTTTTAGTGAAAAAAGTCTTGATATCCTAATCATTTACTCAAAAACTACAAAAGGCAGAAATTTGAAATTTTGAGGAGTTATTTTGGAAGCTTTGGAAGAAAACATACTAAAATTTCAAAGCAATTGAGCTGCAACAACAAAGTTACAACTTTCTTAGAAAATGCACTTTTTTAGTGAAATATGTCTCGATATCCTAACCATTTACTCAAAAACTACAAAGGGCAGAGTTCTGAAATTTTGAAGAGTAATTTTTGAAGATTTGGAGCAAAACATACTGAAATCTCAAAGCAATTGAGTGGCAAACAACAAAGTTACAACTTTCTTAGAAAATGCACTTTTTAAGAGAAATAAGTCTTGATATCCAAATCATTTACTCAAAAACTACAAGGGGCAAAAATGTGAAATTTTGAGGAGTTATTTTTGAAGCTTTGGAAGAAAACATACTAAAATTTCAAAGCAATTGAGCTGCAAACAACAAAGTTACAACTTTCTTAGAAAATGCACTTTTTTAGTGAAGTATGTCTCGATATCTTAATCATTTACTCAAAAACTACAAGGGGCAAAAATGTGAAATTTTGAGGAGTTATTTTTGAAGCTTTGGAAGAAAACATACTAAAATTTCAAAGCAATTGAGCTGCAAACAACAAAGTTACAACTTTCTTAGAAAATGCACTTTTTAAGAGAAATAAGTCTTGATATCCAATTCATTTACTCAAAAACTACAAGGGGCAGAAATGTGAAATTTTGAGGAGTTATTTTTGAAGATTTGGAGCAAAACATACTAAAATTTCAAAGCAATTGAGTGGCAAACAACAAAGTTACAACTTTCTTAGAAAATGCACTTATTAAGAGAAATAAGTCTTGATATCCAAATCATTTACTCAAAAACTACAGGGGGCAGATATGTGAAATTTTGAGGAGTTATTTTTGAAGATTTGGAGCAAAACATACTAAAATTTCAATGCAATTGAGTGGCAAACAACAAAGTTACAACTTTCTTAGAAAATGCACTTTTTGAGTGAAATAAGTCTTAATATCCTAATCATTTACTCAAAAACTACAGGGGGCAGATATGTGAAATTTTGAGGAGTTATTTTTGAAGATTTGGAGCAAAACATACTGAAATCTCAAAGCAATTGAGTGGCAAACAACAAAGTTACAACTTTCTTAGAAAATGCATTTTTTTAAGAGAAATAAGTCTTGATATTCTAATCATTTACTCAAAAACTACAGGGGGCAGATATGTGAAATTTTGAGGAGTTATTTTTGAAGCTTTGGAAGAAAACATACTAAAATTTCAAAGCAATTGAGTGGCAAACAACAAAGTTACAACTTTCTTAGAAAATGCACTTTTTGAGTGAAATAAGTCTTGATATCCTAATCATTTACTCAAAAACTACAGGGGGCAGATATGTGAAATTTTGAGGAGTTATTTTTGAAGATTTGGAGCAAAACATACTAAAATTTCAAAGCAATTGAGTGGCAAACAACAAAGTTACAACTTTCTTAGAAAATGCACTTATTAAGAGAAATAAGTCTTGATATCCAAATCATTTACTCAAAAACTACAGGGGGCAGATATGTGAAATTTTGAGGAGTTATTTTTGAAGATTTGGAGCAAAACATACTAAAATTTCAATGCAATTGAGTGGCAAACAACAAAGTTACAACTTTCTTAGAAAATGCACTTTTTGAGTGAAATAAGTCTTGATATCCTAATCATTTACTCAAAAACTACAGGGGGCAGATATGTGAAATTTTGAGGAGTTATTTTTGAAGATTTGGAGCAAAACATACTAAAATTTCAAAGCAATTGAGTGGCAAACAACAAAGTTACAACTTTCTTAGAAAATGCACTTTTTTAGTGAAATATGTCTCGATATCCTAACCATTTACTCAAAAACTACAAAGGGCAGAATTCTGAAATTTTGAGGAGTTATTTTTGAAGATTTGGAGCAAAACATACTGAAATCTCAAAGCAATTGAGTGGCAAACAACAAAGTTACAACTTTCTTAGAAAATGCATTTTTTAAGAGAAATAAGTCTTGATATTCTAATCATTTACTCAAAAACTACAGGGGGCAGATATGTGAAATTTTGAGGAGTTATTTTTGAAGATTTGGTGCAAAACATACTAAAATTTCAAAGCAATTAAGTGGCAAACAACAAAGTTACAACTTTCTTAGAAAATGCACTTTTTAAGAGAAATAAGTCTTGATATCCTAATCATTTACTCAAAAACTACAAGGGGCAGAAATATGAAATTTTGAGGAGTTAGTTTTGAAGATTTGGAGCAAAACATACTAAAATTTCAAAGCAATTCAGTGGCAAACAACAAAGTTACAAGTTTCTTAGAAAATGCACTTTTTAAGAGAAATAAGTCTTGATATCCTAAGCATTTACTCAAAAATTACAGGGGGCAGATATGTGAAATTTTGAGGAGTTATTTTTGAAAATTTGGAGCAAAACATACTAAAATTTCAAAGCAATTGAGTGGCAAACAACAAAGTTACAACTTTCTTAGAAAATGCACTTTTTAAGTGAAATAAGTCTTGATATCCTAATCATTTACTCAAAAACTACAAGTGACAGAAATATGAAATTTTGTGGAGTTATTTTTGAAGATTTGAAGCAAAACATACTAAAATTTCGAACCAATTCCTCACCTTCAACAAATCATTCCTAGGATCAGCCAAAGGCGGTCCAAGTTTAGCCAGCACTCTATCTTTAACAGGCGTCAACTTAGGCGGACTAGTCAATGCCCTAATCAAATCGCCGTTCATGACAGGCGCCATAGGCACGCTACCAGGTGGCGCGTGCACACTATGCACAGGCATTGGAGGCGGCGGAGGCGGAGGTGGCGCCGCCACAGCCGCCGGGGGCGGACTGGCAATTTGCGGCGGCGTCGCGATCATTTGCTGTTTAGGTGGCGATTGTTTGACGTCCCCTGGCACCGGAGGCGGCGGCGGGAGGTCTTGCATGTGGGGCGGTTCCGGTGTAGACATCGGCGATCTGTGAGGACTTTCAGACATTCGTTGCTGGAAAATAAAAACACACATCCACAAAAAAAAGTTTCAATTAATTTGAACCAAGTTACCTGCAACATGTGAAGAGGTAGGCCATTGGGAGGCGGCGAAGTAGGTTCCGGAGGCGGTGGGGGCGGCGGTAATTGATCTCGCGCACGCAATCTGGTAGGAGTGCCAGAAGTCGGAGTGCCTTGGTTAGAGGGCGGCGCAGGGGGTGGCACGCTAGGTCTCGATTTTGATCTCGTTGGAGTACCTCCAGCAGAATATAACGACTCAGAACTGAAATAGTAATAATTAATAGTGAGATCTCTCAACAGTATAATTCTTACCTCAAAGGTCCTTGTCCACCATAAACCCCCATATTATGCTGATAAGAATTATTAACATCCTCATAATTAATCATTTGACTATTATTCTGATACAATGCGGCAGGTGAATTGTTAATTCCCAAATCCCCAGAAACATCTTGCTGCTGATAAGACCGGCGTATTTCAATTGAATTAGGTCTGGCCGGTCTTTGTTGTTCATTAGTCTGAAGGTAACCGTCGATTTCGTGCTGGTACTGTTGAGGGTACTGGTTGATTTGCTGGGGCGTCCTGTAGATGGTGTTCTGGGGCATGATGTATTCGCCGTGTTCGGTGGCGATTTGTTTTTGACGTTCTCGCGTGTTGTGCGGTTGCCGGACGCGTTTTTTGTGTCTGTTGCCTCCTTGGGCGCCATCTGCTGCACCTCTATTAGCCCTATGTCCCCTAAACAATCTAAAAATTCACAAAATTTCACTAAAATAATAATTTTTTTACCTGTTTTTGCCCTTATCGTGCATAACCCTTTCAGTGTCGTTGAGCATTTCAGCTCTCCAAAGCTCAAAGAAATAGTTGGGATCTGTATAGAATTTAAGACCATCTTTGCCGTCATCCCTGTAGCAATTCAATTTGTCCAGGGGCGGAGGTCTATCACAAGATTTGTAAGTTTCCAGCATTGCAGTAGGCATGGTGCCTCGTGAAAATATCTGAAAATTTATTTGGAAACTTTGCTAGATGATGCCTGATCCAAAATCGTACCTGCTGATCGAAAACTGTAGCGCTTTTGAAGGCTTTTCTCATGTGTATATCCTGCAAACTGACTTCTTCCACGGTACTGTCTAGCTGGGTGACTTTGACTGCAAGTCGGTCGATTCTAGCCTGTAGGGAATTCGATCTGTCGTTGATTTGTTGGGCATCTCTGGCCAGTTCACCGAAAAGATCTTCTGCGTGCCTAGAGAAATTGATTAGTTATTATTTATCATAATTTTTTTTTTTTTGAAAATTGTTCTTAGAGTTGGTATTACAAAATCTCATATTTGTATTTTGAATAATTTTTGAGAAATTAGTCAATTTATGCAAGGTTGTCATATTTCAATTTATAAAAATTATATATTTTTTTAGAAAACTTGTAACTTTGTTCAATTGCTTTAAATTTTTAGTATTTCCTGCTTCAATGTCTTAAAAATAGTTACACAAAATCTCATATTTGTGCTTTGAATAGTTTTTAAGGAATCAACTAATTTATGCGAGGTTGTCAGAATAGCCGCTATTAAAGACCCATTAGGCTGAACTCACTTGAGACCACGTTGTGCAGTTGACACCCAACAACAAATTATAATTCAACCATTTCTCGCCGGCATTCAGTAGTGCCCCACTGTTACACTTACCTTAAATAGTATAATCGTGTAACAAATGATATCCTAATTTATTATGGTGGACACCAATTACCAAAAAGAAATAATCAAATTATAATTTGTTGATCTGGATAATCAGTGAAACGCAACTTCAATTGTCATTGAAAACATCTACAGTCAAAAGCTTAAAGTCTCACACATAAATTGTGATCTTTTCAACTGTGTAAAAATTGTTCTAGACTTCATTCTTGTTCTACCATATTCAATACTAATCTGATAAGGTTTGCTTCCAAAAGGAGGACAAAAATGAGTCTTTTGGCTCACCATGTGACATTTGTCGCAAGATTCTATGCAGAAATTGCTCTGTAGTATGGAGCTCTGAGATTCGAGTTTTCATAGTGAAGGAAAGCTGCCTAAAATATTTTTGTCTAAGCTGTACACTACCGGGGTTGAGCTCAAGACGTTACGAATTGATCTGGTCTTTTGTGATATTGAGAGTGTTTGTGTTGAACTTTGGGATCAATCCTGTGATAAATATTATCCAGCAATCAACTTTAATGTGCCACTAAATAAAGTAGATGCTAATGGTATGATTTATGAATATGTTTTATGATATAGTGTAGTTTACACTGGTTTAGAAATGTATGTTCCGAAATGTAAGGCTAAAGCCGCTAGAGGGCGATTCTCGATTTTGAGCAATACTGTGAAATCTTCATAACTTTTTTATTTATGAAAATAATTCATTTCTGTAAAGACTTTCTGGAAGCACTTTTTTAAGTGGAATTCAGTGACGTTCTCAGCTTTTTTCTATTTGGCTCCGATTCCGAGATATTGACCAAAATCCGATTTTTTTCAATAGGACATCCTATATATTAATAGCTCATTGAAAAGCTCTGCTTTTGCTGATTTCAATGATATAAAATTCGATAGGTTTATCTCCAACGGTTTCCGAGAAAAAAATAATTTCGATTTTTGTCATAAGACACAATGTGTTGGAAAAGGACTTTATATCTGTAAGGAAAACGAGAAAGGTCTCTTTCTAACACATTGTTTCTTATGACAAAAACAGAAATCATTTTTTTTCTCGAAAATTGTTAGGGATAAACCTATTGAACTTTATATCATTGAAATCAGCAAAAGCAGAGCTTTCCAATAAGCTATTAATATATAGGTTGTTCTATTGAAAAAAATCACATTTTGGTCAATATCTCGAAATCCGAGTCAATTAGAGAAAAACTGAGAACGTCACTGAATTCTTCTTGAAAAAGTGCTCTTAGAAAGTCTTTACGGAAATCAATTATTTTCATAAACAACAAAGTTATGAAGGTTTCACAGTATTGTTCAAAATCGAGAATCGCCCTCTAGCAGCTAAACGGTTGAAGATATCATAATGCGGTTTGCACAAATCAAAATTTCATGAAATTTGAGCCTTAGAGTGGGGGGTTCATTTTTTTCTATCTCTAAAAATAAAGGGTGTTTCCATAAGAAAGTGTCCAATTTGGACCACCCTGTACATGGTGGTGACAAAAGTTAGCTATTGTTTGATACAGTTTGTCACTCATTGAAAGTAGAGCTTCAACTTTTTTACTCTCCAATAGGGAACTTGACAAAAAATTTAAACATGAAAATATTACTATAAATCATAAGAATACATTAATTAAAACCTATATCAGCGAAAAAAACAATTTTTTTTGTCGCAAACGGCCACAATAAGGAATTAAAAAGGCGGAAAAATTCAAATTATTTCCAGCGGGAAAAAACGCTCTGGTACTGGTCGTGACGTGATCTACACCATCTCAATTTCGGAAAAAGTAACTTTTATTTAGGAAAATGTAAAGTCATTTTCGGAAAAAGTCAAATCAATTTCAGAAAAAGTAAAGTTAATTTCGGAAAAAGTAAATTCAAATTCGGAAAAAGTAAATTCCAATTCGGAAAAAATACCATTAATATCTCCGTAATTGAATGTACTTTTTCCGAATTTGAATTTACTTTTTCCGAATTTGAATTTATTTTTTCCGAAATTAACTTTACTTTTTCTGAAATTGATTTGACTTTTTCCGAAAATGACTTTACATTTTCCTAAATAAAAGTTACTTTTTCCGAAATTGAGGTTGAAATGGTGTAGTATGATCTGTCAGTGTCTGTCAGCAACCGTCCATCATACCGTGAGATCGTCTTCAAACACTGAGCGCTCGGAGCATTTTCCGTCTTTTTTTCTTATGATGAGAAGAACGGGATAAAAGAACAAAACAGCAACTCCGAGCGTTTACACGAACTCTACCTAATAAATATCCGTTAGCAGTGTTTATTTACGTTTTTCTCTGATTTTTTAAAATTTTATCATTATTAGAATTGGTTTACTTAGCTTAAATTCAATGCTTAGCTTAGCATTATATAAACAAAACGAAATACCCATTAATTATGACCGAAGAAGGAAATTCCAAAGGTCAATCCGCCAATCTGTGATTTGTGATATGTTTATAGTAGCAAAAGTAAGTATATGCGAATCCTTTTTTCCATTATAATTTAAAAAATTACAAACAAATAACGGTGGAAAATGTGGAAATCAACCAAATTAAATACAATGAAGTATGACGTTTGACGACAAGGTGAAGCCGGTGCCACACGATGTGTCGAATGCCTTCTAACGTTGGACACTTAGCGATTTGTGGCATCGTGTAGCCGTGCGCTCATCGGATACATTTGCCAATTTGCCGAATGCTAGAGCAAAAAACACTGTACCCTACGTTGGATCTAACGTTGGGGCCAATGGTTGGACTCATCGTGTGGCGCCGGCTTAACGCAAAATCATACTACGTAACGTCATCCAGATTTCAGGCGCACGAAACTTTAAACATTTTTCACCAAGTTATTATTGAGTTTTAGGAAATATTATTTGGGGAATACTCTTTCAAGGCATAAGTAAATGATTTAAAAAAATAAAAAAAAAAATTGTAAAGTTCCCTAATGTCAATGTATAGCTTGATCTAGAGGGTATCAAACAGATTCTCGTATCAAATTGTTCATGATAATATTCTATTCGATATTCAATATTGGAAACTCGGTTATATACCAGTTAGGTACTTTTATTCACAAAACACTGACACAGAGCACAAAGCATCAAGTACCGCACAGAAACTAAACAATATTTGAAACATAAAATTCTCAAAGATTTCTGGAGATAATTTCCTATAATAATTTCTGAAAATTTTCTATAATTTTGAATAATTTCCTAATATTTCAAATAATTTCCTAATATTTCCTGACATTTCCCAAAATTTCCTATAATTTCTGAGTACACCTATTTCTGACAGTGAGACACCCCTCGGATTTGATTAAGAAAGTCTGATGCCATTTTTCTCTATGTTGTATTTATTTCCTGATTCAATTTTCAAAAAACTAAATCCCAATTTGCAACTCACCTGGACAAAGACGATAACTGCCTGACAGTGTTTGCCAAAGTTCCATTGGTGACCCCTTCAAGCTCAGAAGGCAATGGTAGGTCATCAGGCAAGGTGCCTCTCGTTATGTGAACAGGCTCGATCACTCTTTTCGGAAGAGGCATTTTTAATCAATTATTCAATCCTAAAAACTAGTGATTAGATAATGTTTATTACCCTGACCTTTAAGAAGACACTAATGACATAGTTTATTTAGGATAAAATAGGCTTAAGGAATTTGTTCAGAAAATACAGATGACTGGCGTGGAAATTTATATCAAATAAATATGCACTACTTCAGGCATTCATGAAGCATTTAACAGTTACAATAATAATTATTTAACTTGGAAATTCATACCGGGAAGAAACAAACATATTTTTAGCAACAATTTATTTAAAAATATGAATCGAACTTATAATTATAAACAATTGTAGTATAGAATGAATCCAATTAATCTTCGTATTGATCGATTTTTTATTAAATTATCAAGTGCACTTTCACTTTCTTCGAGCAAAGTCTGCCAAACCCGAAAAGTCGATATTGCAACTTGCCAGGCCCCCAATTGTGACTCAATTGCCAACAAAGTTTAATTAATCAATCCTGGGGGCCTGAATTAGCACAAACTCACTATTTAATAGAGCAAATCTTATTTGCAACAACAATTTTTTTAAAAAAAACATAAGCCCTAAGCACACCTAAAAAACATGGTTTTTATAATAAAAATAGCTTTATTACTTACCAGTTCATATCACTGGAAAATGGATTTGTGTTTTTTAGATCACATTTAGCGCTTAAATTGTGGATTTTCCATTTAAAAGTGGAAAAGAAAAATCGAAGAAAACGTACCCAAACTCCAACACCCCAAACAACGACACTGACATTTGACAGCTGACAGTTTTATCAATTGCCACACCCGTAAAACTAAAAATGTTGTTGTCACTTTGTTGCCAACTGTTTGGAAACAACAAGGATATTTCACTCATTGTAGTGACGTCATTAATTGAAACAAATTATTAGAAATAGTAGATTTTTATTAATCAATAATTAAAGGGATGGACAATAATAATTATTAAACATTTTTACAAAATACTTTCCTTTCTTTATCGTAATAGATGTGGTAATAAGTAACTTTCGATTTGCCGCGTTTCGAAAATAAGACTCTCTTGATTTTTGGCGCCGGGCTAAAAATAATTTGAATTTATAATTGACGATTAGTTATTATTTTTTGATTAATTACTATTTGATTGGACAATAAATAACATATTAATTAATTACAAATGTGCTAAAAACACTACTATTTAAAAGCATAAATTAATTAATTATAATGGACTTTTTTGTAATTCTAATTCTAAAAACTATACTAACCAAACTAACAAGTTGTATTTTATATAAGTGGTTTTATAATAATTGTGTTCTTAAAACAGCAAAATGTTGTATAGTAGTGATTTTCAGTCAAAGATGGCGCCACGGCCAAAAATTCCCCATCGTACTGTTTATAATTATAATTGTTTTATTTTTATTAATGGAATCAATGGAATATGAATGGGAAGATCTTTTACTGCGTATTTTTTCTCAGTTTCCTTTAATTTCTTCATTCTATATAATTTTATTTTATTTTTTTCTCAATTTTTATCTATTCCAGGCTCTTGAATTTCATTTAAATATATGTTAAACTGAGTTTGATAGCTCAAATACTGTTTGAGCAATTAAGCCTCAAAGTTGGATTTTAGTCAAAATTTAGTCAAAAATTTTTCAAAAACTATAAACCTGAAAATATTTTCCAATACAAGTTATTTAGAGCTTAATAGGATTGAATTCATAATAACATGAAAAGGTTGAGGAGGTAGTCAGAAACCGGAAAACTTATGGGTGGACCTCTGCGGGACGAGCGCAGGGAGTTCCGCAGCCATCTACTCATAAATATACTATTGAACTGTTTAAGTAAGACATTCATCTGAAACGTGTAGTTTTTAAACTGATGAGAATAACTCACATTTGAGTGAGTCATCAGGTTAGTATCGTAATTAAACAACATATTTATGAATAGATGGCTGCGGAACTCGCTGCGCTCGTCCCGCAGAGGTCCACCCACAAGTTCCGTAATAATTCGCTCATTTGTACTTGAAAAACTTGTCACATTATGTTACTTGTTTGGTAGAGTAACATTACTATAATTCCTGTTGAAAGGCAAATTGACAAAAAGTGGATAATCTTACAAATTCTTCTTTATATAATGAGTTATTGTTCAAGTACAAATAAGTAGATTATTGCAAAACTTATAGGTGGACCTCTGCGGGACGAGCGCAGCGAGTTCCGCAGCCATCTACTTACCAATATACTATTGAACTGTTCAAGTAAGACATTCACCTGAAACATGTAGTTTTTAAACAGATGAGAATTACTCACATTTGTGTGAGTCAGGTTAGTATCGTAATTAAAAAAACATATTTATGAATAGATAGCTTTGTAGGTGGTAGACGCTTTTTACTCATTGGGCGTCGACCGGTGAGATACCACCATGCCAGAATTGAGTAGCGCTAAGTGGTATCACCACGTTCCGCTACTGCGCTGGCAGTCCGGTTCCAACAATGAGTAACAGATAGCATGATGGCGCCTCCAGGATCAAAATATTCCGGAGGTAAAATACCCGACCACTCGGATCTCCGGGCGTCGGGTGATCCTGGGGGTCCTTCATGCAAGGATATAAAGAGAAGATCAAAAACTCAACTCAGAATTGATTTTAGCAATATAAGAGGAATAAGTACAAATATGAATTCAGTTCACCAACATCTTGATGAACAAAGACCTGACATCCTTGTTCTCACTGAAACTAAAATCAGTTCTGCAACACCTATTGTGAACTATCTTTATCCCGGCTATGACCTACACCACCGATTTCGACATAATTTTGGGATCTGTGTGTACATTAAAAATGACCTTTCATGTCATCGAGAGGACAAGCTAGAACCAGCGAACCTTGATATCATATGGCTAAAATTCACCTCAAAGTCATCGACCAAGTTTATCTGCTGCCTCTACCGACCGCCAAGTAACACCGATTACCAAAACTTTTTCGCGACATTATCCGAAAGCTGTGATAGTATACAGTCGAACTATCCACAGGCGGAAATTGTCTTTTTAGGCGATTTCAACGTCCACAATATACCCTGGCTGAAACACCACAACAAAACAGATAACGAAGGCAGAGAAGCAGAAGCTTTTGCCATAAGTTGTGGTCTAACGCAGCTTGTCGATGAACCTACCCGTATCTCAGAAAGGGGCGAATTTGCAGCGCTTTTAGACTTGTTCCTAACCACCAATCCTGACTCGTACACAATTCAAGTAGATGCTCCACTTGGTTCGTCCGATCATAAACTTATAATAACAAAGTGCGAAATGCTCATCCCACCAAGCCTACAACCACTTCCTCGTAAAATGTGGCACTATAAATCGGCAAAATGGAATGACCTAAAACAGTATTACCTGGATTTTCCATGGCAAGAGGTTTGCTTTAAAACAGCTGATCCCACTATTTGCTGTAATGAAATAACACAAGTAATCTTATCTGGAATGGACGCATATATCCCACATACAACTAAACGTAGAGCTAATGCAAAACCTTGGTTCAACAGCCAGTGTCAAACGGCTGTACAGAAAAAACACAGAGCATATAACCTTTGGAAACGACAACAAACCGCTCAAAACCACACAGAATTTATAGAAGCCAGAAATAGTTGCAAAATTACTATTGACTCCGCTAAAGAAACATACAATCAAAGAATAAAAAACAGGTTGCTGAATTGTCCAAGTAGTTCTAGGTCCTTTTGGTCTCTTGCAAAAGCTGTTGGATCTAACTTCACCAAGTCATCCATACCACCACTTACAGATAAAAATAATCACTTAGCCACAACATCAGAGGAAAAAGCCAATATGCTTGCCCAAATGTTTTCCTCCAACTCCAACCTAACAGTGCCAAACGGAAAAACTCCACCGTTCATTGAAAGGGTTTCCCATAGTATGCCAGAGGTACCCTTTTGTCACAGAGAAATAAGAAAATCCCTTAGAAAGCTAGATACAAACAAAGCAATGGGTCCGGATGGCATTCCCGCAATAGTACTCAAAAATTGCGCCAACGAACTCACCCCAACTTTCGCAAAATTATTCAATTTGTCTTACAGGCAAGGAGTATATCCATCATCATGGAAGTCTGCCGCAGTACAACCCATTCCAAAGAAAGGAAAAAAGACAGATCCGTTAAACTATAGACCAATTGCTCTACTTCCGGTGATATCAAAAGTAATGGAAAGAGTTGTGAACAATCACCTAACCAAGTACTTGGAAAAGTACAAAATTATCAACGATAAGCAATACGGATTTCGAAAATATAGGTCAACTGGCGATTTACTTACATACGTCACTCACTTATGGCAAAAAGCGAATGACTTGCGGGGTGAAACAAGAACAATTGCCTTAGATATATCTAAAGCATTCGACAAAGTTTGGCATGAAAATCTGCTCAACAAGCTCAAAGCAATGGGATTATCGCCGAAACTTTGCACTTGGTTTGAAAGTTACCTAAAGGACAGATCCATTTATGTTGCACTGGATGGCCAGAACTCCAACTCTTACCAAATAAATGCTGGTGTACCACAGGGAGCAATCCTTTCGCCAACTCTTTTCCTGATTTACATAAATGACCTCATAGATAAAACAGTAAATCCACTTTATTGCTTTGCAGACGATGGCAATGTAGTCTCCTCACTCATACCACCCACAGGTCTTTCCGCACGTGAATTCCACCATCTTAGACTAACTCAAATATCGCAGATAAATAACGACCTGGAGATAATAGAGGACTGGGGTAACAAAAACCTTGTACAGTTCAACGCGCAGAAAACCCAAGCAGCTCTGTTTTCAAAAAAGACCAGCACCGGTGAGCCAAACATCATGCTATCTGGAAGTGCTGTCACATTACAGAGTCAGTTGAACATCTTGGGGGTTACTGCAGAGACCAACATGTCTTGGCACAGTCACGTGGCAGATATTGCTAAAAGGGCCTCCCAAAAGCTGGGAGTGCTATTTCGTACAAGACATCTGTACACACCAAGCCAATTGCTGACACTCTACAAAGCCCAGATTCGACCAACTATGGAGTACTGCTCACATATATGGAGTGCAGCACCCAAACATACCTTAATGCTTTTGAATACCGTGCAAAAACGAGCTATCAAGCTGATCAATGACCCCGCACTTACTCGTAACTTGGATGGTCTCGAACATCGCAGATCTGTGGGCGATTTATCTCTCTTCTACAGGTACTATCACGGAAAATGCTCTGAAGAGTTGGCACGTATGATTCCACCGAGAGTAGCACCTACCAGGCGAACCCGTCAAACAGACGGTAACCATGAATTTACTGTCAAACTAGAGGCACCAAGAACCTCATTATATCAGAATTCATATCTCTGGAGAACAGCATCGCTGTGGAATAAACTCCCTGCGACGGTTTTCCCTGCAGGTTACAACCTGAACCGTTTCAAGACCAACATACACCGACATTTCCGCGCACTTGCCGCTTCTCGAGCGTGATAGGACATTTCCTTGCGAGTGCGCATATCCGTAAAAAAAAAAAAAAAAAAAATAGCTGCGGAACTCGCTGCGCTCGTCCCGCAGAGGTCCACCCATAAGTTCCGCAATAATTCACTCATTTGTACTTGAATAACTTGTTACATTAGGTATTTTTCTAGTTTAATAAAGTAACATTATACTAATTCCTGTTGAAAAGCAAATTGACAAAAAGTGTAGGTATATAATCTTACAAATTCTAACTTTATATAATAAGTTATTGTTCAAGTACAAATAGCTGTTCAAGTAAGACATTAACCTGAAACGTGTAGTTTTTAAACTGATGAGAATAACTCACATCTGAGTGAGTCGAGTTAATATCGTAATTAAAAAACATATTGATGAATAGATCGCTGCGCTCGTCCTGCAGAGGTCCACCCATAAGTTCCGCAACAATTCACTCATTTGTACTTGAATAATTTGTCACATTATGTTACTAGTTTGGTAAAGTAAGTAACATTACTAATTCCTGTTGAAAGGTAAATTGACAAAAAGTGGATAATCTTACAAATTCTTATAATAAGTTATTGTTCAAGTACAAATAAGTAGATTATTGCAAAACCTATAGGTGGACCTCTGCGGGACGAGCGCAGCGAGTTCCGCAGCCATCTACTTACCAATATATTATTGAACTGTTCAAGTAAGACATTCACCTAAAACCCCTAAAACGTGTAGTTTTTAAACTGATGAGAATAACTCACATTTGAGTGAGTCGAGTTAGTATCGTAATTAAAAAACATATTGATGAATAGATGGCTGCTCATTTATACTTGAATAACTTGTCACATTATGTTACTAGTTTGGTAAAGTAACAATGCCAATTCCTGTTGAAAAGCAAATAGACAAAAAGTGAATAATCTTACAAATTCTGACTTTATACCGGGTGACAATGAAACTACTACCCATGCCGGTATTTCTTAACGGATCGAGATAGAAATATGCAACTGGGTGTGTTGATAGGGTTGAAAATTGTGAACAATTTTGATATAAAAACAATAATTGAATGTCTTTTCGGGTTTCACCGGAAAAGGCATTGAATTTGTTATTTTAAATGGGACACCCTGTATATTATCTGTTTTTTGGACTCTCTGAACAATTCTAAATAACTTTTGTCTAACATACCCTATGTCAAAAATTGATAGTTTTCAAAATAGGGTGGCCCAAAAATATGTCGTAATTCCTATTTGCTTGTATTTTACGTAAAAACTGAATATGCCAGAATAAAAAAAATCATGGTTATTTGCTCCTTAGTCGAAGGGGTATCCGTTAAATGCTAAAAGAGAAGAATTAATGCGAGTTAAGAAAAACGCGTTTTTCGAAAATGAATGTTTCAGTTTTTGATCGGACCCTGTACGAAAATAGTTCAACTTATGGAAATGAAACTTCCACTACCCAATCCTACTTTTTTATCCTTTATCCAAATATGACAAATTTAACTTTCACAGACACTTGCAAAATTGAAAATTTGATAATCCATTTTCAAGTTGTTGGTTCTTTCGTTTTTTTCAATACTAATTACCATACCTACACCATCAGTGTTGCCACAGGCTCTGAAAATTTCGTGCCAGACTATATTTGTAAAAGGGGCCAGATTTCAGAATTTCGGGCAAATCGTTTTCAAATTGAAAAGAGGAAAGAAAGCCCGCCGGAGGCAGAAATTTTTTTTCGAGTGCCACGCCCAAAAACGTTTATTTTACATCAAAAAATCATGATTTGGCTTGCTATGATGAAACGGGCCAGATTCGAAAAAGAGTGGCCAACGGGCCACTCCGTCTTAAAAAGGGCCAGATCTGGCCATATGGGGCCACCTTTGGCAACACTGTACACCATTGTAATAAAATTCATTTGTTTTCACCCTATCATACTTCATGGATTTTTCAAAAATTCAAATGAGACAAAAATGGGTTAACTATTTGGACAGTACAATATTTTGAATCCATACCCAACTTTGCACGTGGTATACGTAATTAAATGAGTAAAAGCTCAGGTAAAAGTAATAGTGGTTTTGGCACTAACAACTTGAAAGTAGGTTATCAAATTTTTAAACTTGCAGGTGTCTATGAAGGTTGAATTTGTCATATTTGGATAAAGGATAAAAAAGTAGGATTGGGTAGTGGAAGTTTCATTTCCATAAGTTGAACCATTTTCGTACAGGGTCCGATCAAAAACTAAAACATTCATTTTCGAAAAACGCGTTTTTCTTAACTTGCATTAATTCTTCTCTTTTATCATTTAACGGATACCCCTTCGACTAAGGAGCAAATAACCATGATTTTTTTTATTCTGGCATATTCAGTTTTTACGTAAAATACAAGCAAATAGGAATTACGACATATTTTTGAGCCACTCTATTTTGCAAACTATCAATTTTTGACATAGGGTATGTTAGACAAAAGTTATTTAGAATTGTTCAGAGAGTCCAAAAAACAGATAATATACAGGGTGTCCCATTTAAAATAACAAAGTCAATGCCATTTCCGGTGAAACTGGAAAAGCCATTCAGTTGTTTTTATGTTAAAATTGTTCAAAATTTTCAACCCTATCGACATACGGAATTGCATATTTCTATCTCGAGCCGTTAACAAATGCCGTCGTGGGTAGTAGTTTCATTGTCACCCGGTATAATAAGTTATTGTTTAAGGTTTAAAGTCAGGCCTATAGTTTATTACAGTAACTGGAGATGTTAATGCTGTCGCCCCTACAGTGTGCCCTAACTTTATGTTCAATATCTCCCACGGATTTCAGGATATTGAGGCTTAAAGATTTTGAATTAAGAATTTTAAAAAGGTGAAAAAAATCGAAATTTTTTATTTTTTATATTTTCCGAATTTTGATTTTTCGAATCGGTAGAGCGGGTTTAAATCAGTCGAAACAAACCTTAACATCATTTCCAAATGACCAATTCAAAGAGAAAAAAAATATCAAAAAGAAAATATCACTTATTGGTTCCGATTTTTAAAAAAATCATGTCAAGGCTAAGAAAAATTGCCAATATTTCCATTAAAATTTCAACGAATCAAAATAAATTATACAGTATCAGAAAGAGCATTAAAGTCTCCATAAATTTGTGCTAAATTGAGTTCGATAGTTCAAATACTTTTTGAGCAATGGAGCCTCAAAGTTGAATTTTTGTTAAAATTGAAATTGAATTTCCTTCGTGAACTTTCAGCTTTATTTGGATGGAAACAAAAATTCAAGAGCCGGGAATAAATATGAAAATCAAGACAAAAAAAATTAAAAATAGAGAAAAAAATATTATAAAACAACAAACATAAAAATGTTTTATAATGTTTTGCAACTACATATTAATAAAATATCAAATTGCTAGTTTGGGACTCAATGGATGGACATTACTCTCTAAGCACAGATATGTATATGAAGAAAATGAGCTTTTAAAACACTAATATTTAAATTTAAACATTACATCAGATACCAAATAGTTTCTAACCAGTGTTGTTAAAGGGGAAACAGATATAAGGCTACAAAGGCCTCATCTTTTTAAACAAATCTGAAAAAGTTTTTAAAGTAAATTATAATTGGCACATTTTTGCCTCCCCGATTGCCAATCTACTTATATGTATAAAAATACACTCGATCTTTAGCAAAAATACTATTAAGCGCACAAGAAGGATTGCTATTAGGTTTTTGTACACAATTTACTCTACAGTAGGTATACTATCTGGCTCTACTATTGCTATCGTCCTCTACAACGCTATTGCTATCGCTAAAATCGCTGCTGTCTTCTTCTAGGATATCCTCTAGCATCCTTCCTCTACAATCTTCGATAATAACTACGGTTTCTTGTCTAAAAAAAGTGTTCGCCTAAAATTAGGGGATCAGAGAGAAAAACATCTAAAGGATCTATATAGCTAGGAAGAAAGTTAAATCAAAAGTTTACCTTTTATTTATGAGAACCAGGAATCAAAATCATCGGAAACGTGACGTCTATAAACAAGCAATTTATTTATTAACTTTCTTCCCTCTGATGATTATATAAAGTTTTCAAAATAAAAACTTCTTACCTTCTCAACAAGGAAGTTGGCAACGATGGATTTGTGACTACATCTAAAAGTTGTAAAACATTAGGGGCCGTAGTCACTTGAACCACACTAGCCCCTCTCAATTCTCTAAGCTCTACCCCTCTAAATAACTCACATCTTATCAGTTCTTCCAAAGTTGGAGTCCTACTAATAATAGTGTAAGTACAAGATTATTTTTGTATAACAAATTACCTTGTTCCTTGAAAAATCAATTCTAAAGCATCGGCAACTTTAGGGGCCCGTTCCAATTCCAATTCTAAATGGGCAGGACTCGGGGGGGCAGGCAAAGGGTATCCAGCCGACATTTCGAAAAGCAAATAGCCGAGGCCTAAAGTTTCAGGAGCCGCAGGTGATTTTGGTGGCAGGCTGAACAAGGGGTTTTCTAGGCCTGCCAAACGGGCCACACCGTTCTGGATTATGACGTTACCAGAATGAAGATGGTATATGGGTGGGAATTGTTTGCTTCGTAGAAACATTAGGGCTTCGACGATTTGTCTGCCGAGACATTGGATCTGGAACATATTTCGGCTGAAAATTTTGATTATTACCGGCGCTTGAATCACTAGAAAATTTCTCCAGAAGAAATCAAAAGCCGACAATTTAAAATTTTGATCATTTACTGGCTCTTGAAGCACTAGGAAATGTTTCCAAGGGAAATCAAGAGCCGGAAAAGGTTCTCATTTTGATTATCAGTGATTGGAACATTTATCTACTAGAAATTTTGATTGTTACCGGCGCTTGAATTATTAGAAAACCAGTTGATCATTACTGGCTCTTGAATCACTAGGAATTGTTTCCAAAGAAAATCAAGAACCGGGAAAGATTCTCATTATGATTGTCGCAAGCTAGAATGTCTCTCTTTTAATACCCCCTTGAAATCACCTGTGAAACATATTTCCAGTAGGTAAGTAGTCTCAGTGACTGAGAATTTATGATTCTATATATGGGGATTTCCGTTAGTGTGAAGTTATCCATAAAATCTCGGCCATAAAACTATCGAATCGCGGTTAGGCCTACTTTTTACTATACCGGCCAGATTCTCATATATTCTAAGGGCTGTTTGTGCCATATTAGAAATAGCTATGAATGTAAGCTAATTAATAAATTAATTTTGAATAATGCTCCGCCGTCCGAGTGTCTCAAAAAAAATTAAAAACCCTGAAAAGTCGTGATTTTTATCAATTTTTGATTGTAGGTAGTCTCCACACGATTGTTTGTGCCGCTTTAAAAATTACTATACATTATAGCTACTACTCCTAGCAATCAATAAAAATTAGTTTTATGTAATGCCCCGCCGTCTGAGTGTCTCAAAAAAATTAAAAACCCTAAAAAAGTCGTGATTTTTGTAAATTTCCAATTGTAGTCTCTACACGGTTCCTTGTGTCGCTTCGAAAATAGCTACACATTTTAGCTACCACTCCTAGCAATCAAGAAAAATTAGTTTTGCCCCGCCGTCTGAGTGTCTCAAAAAAATTAAAAACCCCAAAAAAGTCGTGATTTTTGTAAATTTCCAATTGTAGTCTCTACACGGTTGCTTGTGCCGCTTCGAAAATAGCTACACATTTTAGCTACCACTCCTAGCAATCAAGAAAAATTAGTTTTGTGTAATGCCCCGCCGTCTGAGTGTCTCAAAAAAATTAAAAACCCTAAAAAAGTCGTGATTTTTGTAAATTTCCAATTGTAGTCTCTACACAGTTGCTTGTGTCGCTTCGAAAATAGCTACACATTTTAGCTACCACTCCTAGCAATCAAGAAAAATTAGTTTTGTGTAATGCCCCGCCGTCTGAGTGTCTCAAAAAAATTAAAAACCCTAAAAAAGTCGTGATTTTTGTAAATTTCCAATTGTAGTCTCTACACAGTTGCTTGTGTCGCTTCGAAAATAGCTACACATTTTAGCTACCACTCCTAGCAATCAAGAAAAATTAGTTTTGTGTAATGCCCCCGCCGTCTGAGTGTCTCAAAAAAATTAAAAACCCTAAAAAAGTCGTGATTTTTGTAAATATCCAATTGTAGTCTCTACACGGTTGCTTGTGCCGCTTCGAAAATAGCTACACATTTTAGCTACCACTCCTAGCAATCAAGAAAAATTAGTTTTGTGTAATGCCCCGCCGTCTGAGTGTCTCAAAAAAATTAAAAACCCTAAAAAAGTCGTGATTTTTGTAAATATCCAATTGTAGTCTCTACACGGTTGCTTGTGCCGCTTCGAAAATAGCTACACATTTTAGCTACCACTCCTAGCAATCAAGAAAAATTAGTTTTGTGTAATGCCCCGCCGTCTGAGTGTCTCAAAAAAATTAAAAACCCTAAAAAAGTCGTGATTTTTGTAAATTTCCAATTGTAGTCTCTACACAGTTGCTTGTGTCGCTTCGAAAATAGCTACACATTTTAGCTACCACTCCTAGCAATCAAGAAAAATTAGTTTTGTGTAATGCCCCGCCGTCTGAGTGTCTCAAAAAAATTAAAAACCCTAAAAAAGTCGTGATTTTTGTAAATTTCCAATTGTAGTCTCTACACAGTTGCTTGTGTCGCTTCGAAAATAGCTACACATTTTAGCTACCACTCCTAGCAATCAAGAAAAATTAGTTTTGTGTAATGCCCCGCCGTCTGAGTGTCTCAAAAAAATTAAAAACCCTAAAAAAGTCGTGATTTTTGTAAATATCCAATTGTAGTCTCTACACGGTTGCTTGTGCCGCTTCGAAAATAGCTACACATTTTAGCTACCACTCCTAGCAATCAAGAAAAATTAGTTTTGTGTAATGCCCCGCCGTCTGAGTGTCTCAAAAAAATTAAAAACCCTAAAAAAGTTGTGATTTTTGTAAATTTCCGATTGTAGTCTCTACACAGTTGCTTGTGTCGCTTCGAAAATAGCTACACATTTTAGCTACCACTCCTAGCAATCAAGAAAAATTAGTTTTGTGTAATGCCCCGCCGTCTGAGTGTCTCAAAAAAATTAAAAACCCTAAAAAAGTCGTGATTTTTGTAAATTTCCAATTGTAGTCTCTACACGGTTGCTTGTGCCGCTTCGAAAATAGCTACACATTTTAGCTACCACTCCTAGCAATCAAGAAAAATTAGTTTTGTGTAATGCCCCGCCGTCTGAGTGTCTCAAAAAAATTAAAAACCCCAAAAAAGTCGTGATTTTTGTAAATATCCAATTGTAGTCTCTACACGGTTGCTTGTGCCGCTTCGAAAATAGCTACACATTTTAGCTACCACTCCTAGCAATCAAGAAAAATTAGTTTTGTGTAATGCCCCGCCGTCTGAGTGTCTCAAAAAAATTAAAAACCCTAAAAAAGTTGTGATTTTTGTAAATTTCCGATTGTAGTCTCTACACAGTTGCTTGTGTCGCTTCGAAAATAGCTACACATTTTAGCTACCACTCCTAGCAATCAAGAAAAATTAGTTTTGTGTAATGCCCCGCCGTCTGAGTGTCTCAAAAAAATTAAAAACCCTAAAAAAGTCGTGATTTTTGTAAATTTCCAATTGTAGTCTCTACACGGTTCCTTGTGCCGCTTCGAAAATAGCTACACATTTTAGCTACCACTCCTAGCAATGAAGAAAAATTAATTTTGTGAAATACCCCGCCGTCTGAGTGTGCCCCCAGAATTTATGAGAATTCGGCCGGTATAGTTAAAAGTAGACCTAACCGCGATTCGTTAGTTTTATGGCTGAGATTTTATGGATAACTTCACACTAACGGGATTTCCAGTATATTCGGGAAAGATCTTGTGATATTCCTGGAAAAACTGTTGTAATCAAAATAGGTGATAGTGATCTACGAGGAATGTTTCTATTAAAACATTTCTGAAATATCATTTAACCTTATATAAACTGAATTCAAAAATACTCACAGTTCTCAAAGACAACCCTTCCCCTCTGGCCGAATACTTCTTATCGCAATCTTCCTGCCAAAAACTACCGTAAATCAAATCCCTCAAACTGCCGGTGGGGTTTAGGGGGCTCACAATGACGGCTCCTTCTTTCCAGAAGTCGATATCCAGGACGGGAAGAATATATGGATGTTGTAGACCTCTATAAAGAATTTATATTGTAATTAATATATATATGTATTGATAAATCTTGCCTAAAAAGTTCCAATAAAGTATCTCTGGTTTCTGGACAAGGAGTAATTGGACAGGTGGACGGTAACGGTACTAAGGTGAGCAGTCTTTCTGCTCCAAGAGAACGATCGTGGACGGTGAACCTAAAATTGCACATAAGTACTATTTCTAGAGCAGCTAAAAAAGTCTTAAATACTAACCAATTCTTTTCAGCACGATATCCAACATCATTGAGCTGATTTGTCAGCTCGTACCTTTCATTGTCGTCCAAGTTGCGTTTGCAGGCCAAAAAGGCACCATTCCTAATGCGATTTTCTGCCCGAAATTTCTCGGTACCACCTTCAGTTTGAACTGCGCTGTACTCGTGCTTAATTTGACTGGATTGTCTAGAAGATAAAAATCAAGTAGTAATAAAGACAAAATAATGTATTGACCTCTTGGAACCAAAAAATATTTTGGCTAAAGAATCAGCTTTTTGCATGGTACTTTTATCATTATTTTCCGAACTTTGACTGCGATTACGAAAAGCGGCCCTTTTCGAAGCCGCACTGAGGGTGGAATTTGAAAATTCGGCGGCGCTTTGCGCCCTTCGGGTGGGCGGTTTTTTCTTTTTTTTCGAGCGCGAGGTTCTCTGTTGGTACCACCGTTCGTGGCCGATCACTTGAGGTTCTTTTTCCTCTTGATCTTTTTTGTTGATCGTTTGATACAGATTGAACATGTTCGGTAGTTTTCTGCTAAAATATCTGAGGAATTTGTCTACGATTGAAGTGGGCATGTAAATAGCTATTTTCATTCACTGAAAATAGACAAATGGGTAGGTACTTTAAATATTCAACAAAATGTCCATTATTCAAAAGCCAAATCGATATAATGCCATATATAGATATTTTAGCATAAGAAAACTAGACTTGTTCACTCACCAAGCACTAACTAACTAATTGTTGATTAGGCGTATAGAAAAAACTAAACCAAAAAGCTGTACATTTCTACGGTTTTAATCCTATTTGCCCACATTACAAGTAGTTTTTGTGGAGACAGCATTAAAAAGGTTTCTCTAAAATTAGTACAAATTATTAGTAAGTACATGTACGTGATTTGTTCTATAAAAAAAAAATGAGGCCAAGTGTTGCCTGCTGTACAAACTTCTCAAGAGTGAGAAAGTGCATGCACAAAATAGACTTTATAAGGGCACACACACAATCTCGGTGCATTTAATCAAAAATACGGTTTAATATAACACGAAGAATCACATGCTACACGCCACTATATCGGTGTATAAATAAGCTTATTAAATTTAATAATGCAAGTTCAGCATTATGCTGAGGTGCATAAAGAAACTTGAGTTTTTCTTTGAGGGGGCTCTAGTTGATGTTTGAAGAGTAATCAAGGCAAAATTTGATGTATTACAAGCTCTATTGATTCTCAAATTTGATTAGCTGAACTTGTTAAAGTTTCAATTTTTTGCTTATTCCCGGCTCTTGAGCTGATTGATTCTAATGATTCTTCAATGAATTTGCTATTTTATTCTGGATATTTAATTGTTTTATGTGATTGAAAAGCCTCAAAATGCCATCAGAATTAATTCTATAAGTCAATGACCAATTTCTGATCATTCCTGGCTCTTATTCATTTAAATCAAGAGCCGGGAATAATCAAATTCTTCAATGTATCTAATATAATTATAAATCTCTTTTCTGTTTTAAATAATATGTCCCTATAGTGTTTCAAATGAATGAAAAAGACGTTCTTAAACTGCTGTTGAAAAATGTCTGATGGATTCTGAACTGTTTCAAATACTTCACAATGATTTCTGAGTTATTCAGAAGAGTCTGATCGGTTCCTATTCCTCAAATGCTTATCTGAAGTAATTAAAGATCCTTATGATAAAAAGGCTGATATAAATAAAGATTCTGATCCCTTTAGAATATACCTACAATATCTCGTAAAAGAACTAAGAAATAAGGGTGTCGTTGCGACCTGGGTACTTATTCACGAAATAGGGGAGATTTAAGTGATTGTTTTGTCTTTGTCGCTCATATCTATATTTGTATATCATTAATAAAGATAGAGCAATCGTTCTCGTGTTCCACCCAGGTTTCAAGAAGAGATGTCCTAGAGCCTCAACCTTTTCATGTTAGTATGAATTCAATTCTATGTACAGTTTTTGAATAATTATACAGTTTTGTATATTTTCATGTGGTTCTCTATTCATAGGTCGATCGAGTGTACGCCACTGGTATTTTCCTGTTTCTGACTACCTCCTCTAGAGATTACCTATTAAGAATTTGGCTTTTACAAAGAATACATTAATCGATTATTATTAATTTAGGTCTATTAAATATTGTTCAGATAATCAGCAAATCAACGTTTTTGTCCATTGAAGATTAGGTATTTATTTCAAGAGGCAAATCACCGAGGAATCCTTTTGCCAAAATTGTGGGGAATTTAGAGGAATTTGTTGGAAATTTGGAAGAATTTGTGGGGAATTTGCAGCAATTCATGAGAAATTGGAGGAATGTATAAGAAATTGGAAGAATTTATTGGTTTTAACACTGCGCGTAATAAAAATAGAAAAATAGATTTCTTATCACGAATAATTTTGGAGATTTTTATGGAATTTATAACAGGCATTTGCAAGGAATTTGCAGGAATTTGTTGGAAATTTGGTGGAATTTGTGGGTAGTTTGTTTTGCGGGAATTGTTTGCACAAATTCGAGGGGTTGGTTTACCACGTGATTCATTTTGTAGTATAGCCATGAATAGGGATGACAGTTTTCAAAAAAATATCGATATATCGATATTTAGGTGAAAAGAATATCGGTATAATTTTAACTTTTTTTTCTTCCAACTCCTCTAAAATGAAATAATAATTGTTGTGTTGATTAGGTATCTACATAATATAAGGCAATTTTTGACGAGGATAATCAAGCATAATCTGATGATGCTTATATGCTATGGGTAATGTGATGTGTCCGATGTGTCAATTGCCTCATACTCCCCTAACTCTCTTACCATCAAATTCTGGGCTTGCGAGTGACGTCACTATGAGCAGCTTATAGTGATGACATCACCCGCAGACCTCGACAACCTCACTCAACCTCACCCCACAAAGATACCGGCCGATAAAAATGAAAACGTTTTTCCAACTGAGATAAGGAAAGAGTAGTTCAAAACAGGGGCGCCCGCAGAAAAATATGTAGGGGGGATCAAAATCAATTCAATAATTTTTTTATGCGTAAATTAGGGCACTTCAGTCTAAATTATCATTTTAGAAGCAGAATCAGAATTTTAAATGCAACATTTGCAAAGCAAAATTTAAAAAAAAGGCAGTTTGAAGAGACACGAACTAACACACTTGGACGGGAAGAATTTTAAATGCAACATATGCAATGCATAATTTAAAGAAAAATTTAAATTAGGAAAATTTAAACAAAAAGGTAATTTGAAAAGTCACATATCAACAGACTTCGATAGTTATCTTTTTGAATGTGACATTTGCAAAGCAAAATTCAAAGGAAAAGACTGTTTAAAGAGACACAAACTAACACAGTCTGATATTTATCCTTTTAAATGTGACATATGCAATGCAAAATTTGAACACAAACGTAGTTTGAGAAAAGCCACATATTAACACACTCGGATGAGGAGAATTTCAAATGTAACATTTGCAATGCAAAATTGAAAAGAGAAGGCGATTTAAAGGAACACATATTGATACACTTGGATATTTAATTTTTTTGAATGGGACATTTGCAAATCAAAATTTAAACGGAAACGCGATTTGAAGATACACAAACTAACACATTCGGGTATTTATCCATTTGAATGTGAAACTTGCAAGGCAAAATTTGAAGAAAAGTAATTTACAAAGGTACATTTCAACACACTCGGATATTTATCCTTTTGAATGTGACACTTGCAAATCAAAATTTAAATGGAAAGCCGATTTAAAGATTCACAAACTAACACATTCGGACATTTATCCATTTGAATGTGACACTTGCAATGCAAAATTTAAGCAAAAACATAATTTGAAAAGCCACATGTTAACACAGATTGTTTATTACTTGATTCACTTAATAGTGACATGTGTTTAGCTCCGGGATCCTTGAACTCAGCCACAAAATTCACCAGTTCCGGAATAAGGAAAGGGTGACAATTTATCAATATGCAAATCGGTACACTGAGATATAGATATTAAATCAACTTATTTACTTCTTATAAACAGTTAAAATGTCAGGCATGGTAGAGGAAGATCCAAAACTTAGGCTTAAGCATTGAATATAAAAAAAAAAGATTCAGAAATCGGTAAATCGTTACATAATTGTTTCGGAATGATGTTTTTGGAGAATCAAGAAGTTATCGATTTCTTTGTTTTCGAGTTGTTAGCTATTCAGCCGAATCACGAAGTTCTAGTTAAATTTTCAGATTATCTCATCGACACATGGCACATGCCTCGATAGACCTGGATAAGAAAACAAATACCTGTGAATCTTTCCATAGTCATTTTGGTAGATCTTTTTATTTTGCGCATCAAAATACATATTTACACTTTTTTAGATTTATTAACTCATATGCAATGCGAAATCTGTCAACATCATTAGGTAAGTTTTATGGAAAATAGGTTGGGTTTCATGATTTGGTCGAATTCAAAGGTAGGATTACTGCAGATACCTGGTTTGTGGCCGAATTCAAGTATGCCCGTTTCGCTCATACGAGCATCATCGAACCTACAATATAATATATATAGAAAATAATTAAAATTTAAGAAATTTCCAGGGGGGGTCGAGTGACCCCCCCTGTGGGCGCCCTTGGTTCAAAAGCTAAGTGTATTTAACCGACGTAATTTGTGATAGATGATAAAAAACACCAGCTGTTGCCTCACAAACCTGATAAACCGTATCGCCACTACAAATATCGACAATATTCGATATGGATATATCGACAGACTAAATATCGATGCAAAATATCGATATTCTTACTCTGATATATCGACATTTTGGAAATATCGATATATCTTTGCCATCCCTAGCCATGAATAATCACTCGACTATTTGATCAAGAGCCGGAAATAATGATTTAATTAATTATAATTATAATTCTTTTTCTGAACTATTTGAAATACTCCTCAAAATACATAGTTGAACTGGTTACAGTTTTCTTTAGAAACTTAGTTTCCTCTCGTGTTGTCTCGATGAGATGAGAGACTCGAAAAGTCACTCCGACACGAGACGAGACGAGAGAATGCTTTCACTCGCCGAGAATTTCTCAAGTTCCCTCGAGCAATACCTATAAATATCCACACTACTGAAAAAATTTCAATATTTTCCAGAATTTTGAGTAATACACATATTACATTTTCATACATTTTTTAGTTAAGGAGCGAGTATTTTTTGCATTTTCTTCTCGTCGGCTTATTTTCCCTCGAAATTTCCGAGGCAAAATGAAACGGAGTGTATTCTCATCTCGTCTGGCGGCATCAGTACCTAATTTTCTGATGAATTTGTGGCGACCTCAAAAATTTCGAGGTGCTAAAATCCCAGAAAATATAACTATTGCTAAAAGCATTTTTGTAGTCATTTTAATTAGAAAAGTACCTACATCAGTTGCAAGATAATTTAATCTCAACTTATTAATTCTCCTAGCAATTCAGCATCTAATTCCGTAAAAAAATAGTATAAATAAAAAATGACGAAATTTCTAAGCTCAACTCAAATTACATAACAATTTTTTTACCAACACAAGCGATAAGCGACCGGATGTCAGAGTTCGATGTCCCCAATTAATAGACTCTTGCGACATTCTGATTAAAAAAAAAGTCAATAAAAAATTATAAAACTAGGAAGCGTTCAACCGGAAATCACTATACTCATGTGATTTAATTGCGTCATAACTGATAAACTACAACACTGGATGTTGCATCATATCCTAAGTAAAACCAATTCTTGGAAAACAACAATGTCGTTTATCACTCGATAAACGAGGTCAAATAAGAGGATTGGTTCGAGAAATGCTAAATGACCGCCCACGTAACAGATTTTTGGTGGGAATTGAGTAATATTTAAGCAGGTAACAATGAGAAAAAAGGAGAGATAACATCCAGCAGTTGATTTGATAGTAAGATTTTAAGAATCAAGAAAATTGGCAGTGAGTGAGTCTTTACTAAAAAGTTTTTGCCAATTTATTTGAAGTGGAATTTTCCAGAAGAGTTTTAATTCAAAAATAGAATTTTGAATTCAAATATTGGATTGTTACTACCCTGTTTTTGAAGAAATTGAGTTAATGAATTGTTGAGCTTAAACTATTAAATAAAAAGAAATTCTTTATGCAATGCAAGTATAATGGCAACTGGAAAGTTAGGAATTTAATCAAGAGTTTTAATATGAAAAGATTTAGTATTAAGGAAGTGTTATAAAAGGAAATTGTGTAACCAACAAATGAGGAACGAGTTATAAAATTTAATTGTGTATAATCAACTAAGTTTTGATTAAGAGGGTGTATAACTGGATTGTTTCAATGTTTGATCATTGAAGTAAGAATTTATTAATATAAAATGTTCCTTTATTTGTCGTGTGGTTGTGCTGAATTCTTATGCTGAATTCTCCTAATTGATAGTGCTGATTTAGTAAATAAAATATTTATGAAAACTATTACTTATACAGTTGTTTCTCTCATTTGCAAATAGACCCCCTTCAGACTTCACCACTTAATTTTGTAGTAACCCGAGGAAATAGTTGACATCAAATAGAACCGCTCGCCATTTACCATTTAACTAATTATTAGAGTACAGTAGACTCGCGCTAGTGTGAACACGCGGTTCTGTGAACCTCCCAGTAGTATGAACAGCCAGAATGAATACATTATATATTCTGTAGTGTGAACTTTTGAGAATCTCGATAGTATGAATAATGTATTCAACCACGAATTTAATCGTATTCTGCGTACTTGTTGTTTTCATTGGTTGTTTCCGTCGGATTCTGGGGTTTCGAGACAAGGAATGCTCAGGGTTGTTATTCTTGAAACAGGGAAGCACCGTTCCCAGGAGAACGAGTGTTTTGTCTTTCACTCTAATGTGAAATATACCATGTAATAAACAAGTGGCAACGCGTCAACAGTTCAAAAGTCCTATAAGTTTTTAGTTCGTTGTTTGATGTGGTCAATAGGTTTTGTGAGAATGGAGAAAAACATAATTATTTTTTAACTGCCTATGGGTCTGTTCTCACAAGAGTTTCTGACAGTTTGCACAGGGACTTTTGTGAGAACAGACCTCATGAGAAGTCAGCTAGAACCATTCAGACAAAAAAGACATCTTACTTTAATCAATAAACTGGAAAATTTTAATTAATGAATATGTTTGCAAGTACCTATTGTAATAATTTTTCTTGAATTTTAAGTTGAGAGACGATTGCTGACAGTATTTTGCATTTAAAGGTAGACCTTCGATGGTGTGAATATCTCGATAATATGAATAACACGTCCGGTTTTTTTGTGTTCACACTAACGCAAGTCTACTATACCTACTTGGGTGGATCACTGCAAATTCTTAACTTTCAAATACTTACTTTTCAACTTTTCTGGAATGTTTCTATGAGTTAAAAAAATCTTTAAAAGTGGTTAATCGCTTCTTACTAGTCCGTTTAAAATATACAACATCCAGAAAAGTTTAACTAGTGCATTGGAGGGATTGACGAAACTTGATTTTTTCTTTGAAGTTTGAGAAGCAATCAAGGCAAAACTTGATGATGTTACAGAGGCTCTTGATTTTCTGAAATGATTAGCTGATCTTCTTTAAGATTCAATTTTTGATTATTCCCGGCTCTTGAGCTCAGTAGTAAATGATTGATTCTAATGATTTTTCAATCTAGCAACTTTTTCAGAGAATGAATAAGTCGGAATTTCGACTTATATCTCAGAATTCTGACAAGTCGAAATTCTTAAGTCGGAATTACGTTATTCTGACTTACCTACATCTCGGAATAACGTCATTCTGACTTATAAGAGAAAAAAAAATTCAAGTTGGCACTTCTAGGCTTCCGTAGTTTAATATATTTTCTCAAAATCAAAAATAATAAAATGCATCCTATTCTTACCTGCATCGACGTATTAAAAAGATCGCTAGAGCAAATACACCTAGAGCGATGACTATACAGGAGATGGAAATCTAAAAAGAGTAAAAAACCGACATTTTCATCAAAAGTAATAGATACAAAATCAATTAAAAAGACACTATTTACCTACCCATGAATGATTGGCATCAGGTTTGCTGGATGCGCCGTTGTTTTTCATCCCATTTGCAACTTCCACTTTCATTTTGCATCGTGTTTACCTCAAAAAAGAGGAAAATCAATTAGCTCTTATCCAAAAGACTAAATTGGCATTTTCGATGGCGCGATTAACGATAGTTTTCCGGACTAGCGGGGTGTCGAAAGGAAACGCTAAAAGAACTGAATGTAAACGGTGGAAAACACGCAACGCGTGACAACGCGCCAGGTTGCCAGGAATAATTTCCCTGGATGAGAATCTTCCACCCTGGTGGTTTTACTTTGGTATGGTCGATATTTTCTGGAACGTATGGCAACGCGGTGGTGGTTTCCCGTGGGAGAGTATCCAGACACTTGGGCTTTTAGAGACGATCGAATGTGAATATAATAGGGAGGCGCAAGCGCTATTTATTCACTACTGCATTGTGTTGAGGGCCAAAAAAGAAGTCTATTTTTTTTTTTTTTTGGATGAGATTTATTAAGAAATAATTAAATTCTAGTTTATGAGGTTCTTATAGGAGGCGAAACAAGAATTACGCCATCCCCTCTAACAAAAAGCATTGCAATGTTTCTTTTGGTGGTACGGTAAACTTCCTCGTAAGTTTCCTCGTCAATTTCCACCATTGTGATGGTTTCCTCGACGTCGCTCAGGATCATGTTCATGTGCTGATCATAGGCCTAGAATTGTATGAATTAGAAAATTGCAGAACATTCAATTGTAGCCTTACGTGCAAGCGTCCCCTTAATTCGCGATCGTTTCTCATTTTAACGTAAATTTTCTCGTCAAGGCTGAGCCGCACCAAATCGAGAGGCTCCTTTACAGCTATTGCAGGGTGCTAGAACATGAATAAAGCTTGAAAAACTTTCAAATTTTAATTAATAATATGCTTACCAAATCTAATTCATCCATACTTATTTAGTTATTAGTACTTTTTAAAATAAAATCAGGAATCCAGGAAATGTATTTGTTTTGATTTTTTTGAGGTTAGAATAGTAACAGGAGGGTGCATTCTTTTTTACACCTATGAGATGTCTATCTTTGTTTAGCTCATGGAAAATAGAAATGATTGTTAGCTATACCGATGGAAAAAAAAAGAAAGCGCTAAATGTCTAATGTTTAGTTTTTTGACAACTGACAGTTAGCAGTTGCTTGAATAAATTTATTATTGAAAGCAAATCTCAACAAAACTTTCTAATTAGTTTATTTAAAACAATTAAAAATGTCTAAAGAACGGCCCCTGGTAAGTCAATTAACAATTTAATTATCCAACAAATCATTGCCCCCTTTAAATCCCCTAATAAAATCCCCCTTGTCACGATCCTAACCTCAAAAATTTCAAAAATAATCTCCCCCAAAATGATGACTAAATATATATTTATTTTTATACAAACAATTCCTTAGCTGTTACGAATTCAAAGTCCGGAGGGAACGAAAAGGATCGAGATCAGGCCTTCGTCCACCACTTGCGAGCTGTTCGAAACGATTCACGACTCATTGAATCTGAACAGTTTCGCTTTCGCTCTTTATAAACAAATAAACAAAAATGAGGAAATTTCCAGCAGCAAAACGAAAACTTTGAGGACTTTGGGGCTCAAGCATGGCGACATGGTGTATCTTGCCCCCCTTAATGGCTCAATATTGTTCAATGTAAGCCAGAGATTCTGAAATCAAACAAAATTGTAACCATTAATGTTTTTTCAGGCAACTAGTGCCAGTGGGGAAACCGTTCCTGAATCTGGTGCGTCTACTAGTAGATCAAGGAGTGCGTCAACCAAGACCAGCGTTAAAGAAGAGGAAGTTGACCAATACCTTGCCAAATTGGATGGCAGAATTGAGAGGAAAAAAGATGATAAATTGTAAGTGGAAGAGACATTTTGAATGATGAACTAAGGACTGGTTTATCATTTGATGATTATATAATTATCATTAGTTAACCATCAGCTAAACTAAATAACCAACCACTGATGAACCGGTCCTTAATAATTTATTAGAATGGTTAAGTAACAATTCATTACAACTTGATGTTGAAAAAACAAAAATGATGATTAATTCCATATTAGATTTCAATCCCAATAATAGGTGCATATTGTGAAAACTAATAATAAGCCCATTAAGGGGTTGTCTCAATTATATTGAAATACTTGCGGTGTATAATAGACAGGGTTGGCAAAAATCCAAGTTTTTGAAAATTTCCATTGGGTTTTTAGGTTTTTGTAGGATTTTTGTCTTTACTTATCTAGAGAAAATTGTATATTTGTATCAGCAGTTTTGCACCTGAGACTGAGAAGCTTCAAAATTGAATTTATCATTAGATTTTAATTTGGTTTCAATAGTTCTGCACCTGAGAAGCTTCAAAATTGAATCAATCAACCATTGAAAATTTTTCAAAAATGACACTGAGCCAGTTTTTGTCTTACAGCTGCGTTAATTTTCATTTAATTTCAATAAAATTGAGCTCTAATTAAAGCTAATTAATTTCTCTACAAAACTTTAATTAAGATTTCAATTTGGTTCCGAAAGTTTTGTACCTGAGAAGGTTCAAAATTGAATTTATTGAACATTTGAAATTTTTCAAAAATGACACTGAGACAGTTTTTGCCTCATTACTCCTCTAATTTTCATTCGATTTCACTGTAATTAAGCTTTAATTAAAGCTAATTAATTTCTCTACAAACCTATTAATTAAAATTTCAATTTGTATTCAATAGTTTTGCACCTGAGAATCTTCAAAATTGAAATTATCGAATATTTAAAATTTTCCAAAAATGACACTAAGACAGGTTTTGCCTCACAGCTCCTTTAATTTTAATTGTATTTCAATTGAAACCACTGATCTCAAAAATATATGGATGAAAAGAACGCTTCTAATGCTGCTAATTGACGAGGTCAAAATCTAAACAAAAACAACTGACTGGAACAGCTGTGAGCGTGCGCAGTAGATACATGTATTGTGTGTGCACAAAATCTGGCCAATGAAAATGAAGGAATTTCAAAATTTAGAACAGTTGTTCGAAAGATAAGACACTGCGCAGGCGTTAGGCTGTTCCGTTGCACAACTGTTCGTAGAATATTGACCCCAAATTTTCGCACAAATTTTGCCAATCAAGCCGTATGAATTGTTTATCCATTTATTTTTTAGATCAGTGATTGAAACCAATTGAATTCTCTATAAACCTGTTAATTAGGATTTTTATTTAGTTTTCAAGAGTTTTGCAGCTGACAAGCTTCAAAATTGCAATTATCGAACATTGAAGATTTTCCAAAAATAACACTGAGACAGTTTTTGCCTCACAGCTCTTTTAATTTTCATTTGAATTTAATGTAATTAAGCTCAAATTGAAGCCAATGAAATTCTCTACAAACCTATTAACACGTTCGCGGACGGGCAAAAGCTGTCATATTCTTCTGCCTTGCCTGGGACATGACGTCTATAGCAGTCATCCCAAATTTCTTCTATAAACAAATAACGGCTCTAGCCGTCTTAGATCTCATATAGCTACATGTATTTTAAATTTATTAGTCCTGCCACAGTGTCTATTCACCTCAAAATTGTCCAGTTGGCAAAAAAACCAATTGACCACACCAAACTTGGAAATTGACATTCTAAGAACAACATACTTTTAGAAATTGTCCGCGAACGTGTTAATTGAGATTTTAATTTCGTTGCAATTGCAATAGTTCTGCACCTGAGAAGCTTCAAAATTGAATTTATCAACCATTGAAAATTTTTCAAAAATGACACTGAGACAGTTTTTGCCTCACAGCTCCTTTAATTTCCATTTGAATTCAATGTAATTAAGCTCAAATTGAAGCCAATTAAATTCTCTACAAACCTATTAATTGAGATTTTGATTTCATTCCAATAGTTCTGCACCTGAGAAGCTTCAAAATTGAATTTATCAACCATTGAAATTTTCCAAAAATGACACTGAAACAGGTTTTGCCTCACAGCCCCTTTAATTTGTATTCTATTTCAATGTAATTGAGCTCTATTTGAAGCCAATTAAATTCTCTATAAACCTGTTAATTAAGATTTCAATTTAGTTTTCAAAAGTTTTGCACCTTAGAAACTTCAAAATTGCAATTGTCGAACATTGAAGATTTTCCAAAAATGACACTGAGACAGTTTTTGTCTTACAGCTCCAGCTTGTGAAATAAAAAGGGGAGGGGCTTATTAATCTGAAATTTCAAATCAATCCAATGAAAAATCACCACAGAAAAAAATCTTGAAAATTAACTCTTAGCCAAAAAAAAAATCTCCACATTTTTATGATTTTTGGAAGAACTGTTGGGGGGAAAATTCTGAAACTTTTAGGGTAAAAAATGGGAGGAGCTTATTGATCCGAGATTTCAAATTAATCCAATGGAAAACCACTACGGGAAAAAAATTTAAAAACTGACCTGCAGAATTGTCCAAAAATGAATTTCAAAAAAATCTCCTACACACTTGTACGGGTTTTGGAAGAACTGTTTGGGGGAAAATTCTTGAAACTTTTGGGGTAAACTATAAGTCGAAATAAGCAGATATCTGATATTTTTAGACGCTCCAACAACATAGAATGCTTCAGAAGACGACAGTTATATATGTTCTAAATTGTTGGAACATCTATAATCGTTTCACGTCACTCTAGAACACCGTAGAATAAACCTAGAGGTTTGTTAAGCCTCAGAAGACTTTCAATTCTTCTTGATTTTGGCCCTCAAACTACGATTTCTGATCATTTCAATGTTACAGTTCAAATATAGCAGTTTGAGCTGAAATTCGACTAAGATGAATAAAAATCCTATTCCAGACTCCCCTAGAGTAGTAAAGTCCAATTTCAAACAAATCTTGTGTTATATTTGACATATGGCAGTTGGAAACGTCAATTTTGGCCCTCAATCTACGATTTCTGATCATTTCAAAGTTACAGTTCAAATAGAGCAGTTTGAGGAGCTCATTTTGCACCTTAATTGAGCTGAAATTCAACTGAGATGAATAAAAATCCTTGTCCAGGCTTTCCTAGAGTATTAAACTTCAATTTCTAACAATTCTAGTGTTAAATTTGAGCTATGGCACTTTGGAACGTCAATTTTGGCCCTCAATCTACGATTTTTGATTGTTTTCAAGTTACAGTTCAAATAGAGCAGCCTTTTGGATATTTTTGGAAACACTACAACCACTTTAAAATTAACTTTAAACCTTTATAGAAAGTTCTAAAGCATACTTGTAGACTTATTTATGAGAATGCTCCAGAACATTTCAATAGTTTAAAACCATTATAGAACCAATTTGAAATTTTAGAACCAGTTTTGAAACACTCAGAATACGTTGGTGCCAAATTAGAACATCTATAATAATTTTAGATCGCTCTAGAACACTTTGGAAAACATTTAGAACTTTGATAAGCTCCAGGAGACTTTTGAGTTAGTTTTAAAATTTTGAAACTTTCAGGAAAAAAAAGAGGAAAGTTAGGAGCTCATCATACTAAAATTTCAAACTTTTCCAGTGGAAAATAACAAAATGGGAAACTTTTGACTATCAACTTGCAAAATCTAAATTAAGCAAAAATGCACCAACTTACATTTTAATTTATTTCTGAAAAACTACTGAAGGGAAAATTATGAAACTTTCAGGAGAAAAAGAAGAAAGTTAGGAGCTCATCATACTAAAATTAAATATTATTATTAACAACTAAACATTCCAATTATTCCAGGTGTCGTCACAATGCCAATTCAAAATGTGTTCATTGCTCATCCCTGGAACCCTTCGACGATTCTTACCTCAAAGAACAAAACATCAAACACTTATCCTTCCACTCTTATCTGCGCAAAATGATGTCGGGAGTGGACCGCGGCAAATTCCTAGCCCTAGAAGACATTTCTTGTAGAATTAAAACCGGCTGCAAAGACCACCCTCCATGGCCCAAAGGCATTTGCTCCAAGTGCCAGCCCAACGCTATTACGTTGAATATGCAAGCCTATAGACACATAGACAATGTGGCTTTTGAAAATACCGATTTGGTGGAGAAGTTTTTGAATTATTGGCGAGTCACCGGTCATCAAAGAATTGGGTTTTTGTATGGTAATTACGAGGTTCATAGTGATGTGCCTTTAGGCATTAGGGCAAATGTGGTGGCTATTTATGAGCCTCCTCAAGAAAGTACTCGAGATGCGATTCGCTTGTTGCCAGATGAAAAAGAGGCTGTGGTTAATCAAATAGCTAGCGCTCTAGGACTTATGAAGGTTGGCTGGATTTTTACTGATTTGTTAGCTGAAGACATTAAAAAGGGCACAGTGAAACACACAAGAAATGTAGAGTCGCATTTTTTGTCCGCACAAGAGTGCATTATGGCTGGACACTTTCAGAATTTGCATCCCAACATTTGCAAATATGCTTCCAGTGGGAATTTTGGGTCTAAATTTGTCACTGTATGTGTTACAGGTATAATTTTTTGCAATTTGATTGAGTTTTGCAATTGATGCTATGTATATGTTTTAGGGGATAAAACTAATCAAGTTCACATGGAAGGTTATCAAGTGTCCAACCAGTGCATGGCATTAGTAAGGGACAATTGTCTGGTGCCAACTAAGGACGCCTCAGAGTTGGGCTATGTACGAGAATCAACTGATAAACAATATGTTCCTGATGTCTATTATAAGGTAAGAAGTTTTATTTACAACACTTGGGCATTTTTTGGTATTATTTTATTGCACATTACAGCAAAACATTACATTTATTTTTATATTTACTAGGTTTAGGTTTAGGGCAAAGTTTAGTCGGTTAATGAGTAAACTTTGCTTTTATAGTGTTGGTGTTTAGGCAAGATAATATATGGCTTATTTATTATTATTGGGTGGATTTTCTCAAAAGTAATTGCTCATTGAAGTTGTATCTATATGCAAACTATAATTAATAATGCAAATTTCTTATTATTTTTCTCTGAAAAGACTCGGGAGATCTTCAATTTTTAGTAATTAAGTACCTTGTAAACTTTGTGTTTTTTTCCTATAAGAATTTTTAATGAAGTTTCTAAAGAGAATTTGTAGATTCTGAAATATTTTTTCAAGAAGATTCTTTGATTATGAAAATTCTGAATTATGTTACTATGGAGGGGTAAACCACTTAAAAAAATAATGTACACCATAATCCCACTTCTAACAGAATCCCACTGAAATTCCACTGCAAATGAATGAGATTTTATTATTCATGAGTATCACAGTGACTTGAAGCTTTCAGGATTCATAAACTGATGATTTCTTTTGGTGGAAAAGTTAATTTGAAGTCGATTTAAAACTGCAAACTGAATTTGGAAACTCTTTCTTATGTTAATGCATGCAAAAATGATTAAAATCTGCAAAAATCACTTGTGCAAAGTACTTCTAATGATCACAGTGACTTGTAACTTTCAGGATTTATGAATTGAAGTTTCCTCTTTGTGGAAAAGTCAATTTGAAGTCGATTTGAAGCACCAAACTAAATAGAGAAACTCTTTCTCATGTTAATGCATGCAAAAATTGTCAATATTTGCAAAAATCACCTGTGAAAAATATTTCCAATGACCACAGTGACTTGAAACTTTCAGGATTCATAAACTGATGATTACTCTTGGTGGAAAAGTTAATTTGAAGTCGATTTAAAGTTGCAAACTGAATTTGGAAGCTTTTTCCTATGTTAATGCATGCAAAAATGATTAAAATCTGCAAAAATCACTTGTGCAAAGTACTTCTAATGATCACAATGACTTGAAACTTTCAGGATTGAAGTTTCCTCTTTGTGGAAAAGATAATTTTAAGCTTCAAATCAAAGTTGCATGAAAAAAAAACTGTAAAAATGTGCTGACCTGAAAATTAGTGAGTTTTTGAATTATTGACAATTCTGAATGAAAAATGAATAAGTTATTGAATTATTGAGTAAATTTCATGAGTATAATTGCTGCGGGATGAGCAGAGCGAGGTTTGTGAGTAATTCACTTATTGATAAGGAAAATTCTGATTTAAAAATAAATTAACTGAACTAATGAGTAAAAAGTACATACACACAAACCTCTCATACTTCTGATATAAAAATCAAGAATTTCTGAACTACAGAATCTAGAATTCCAGTGGAATCCCATATGCTTGTACACTATAATTCCAAGGTGGTTTATCCCTGGCCTTTAGTTACTACCTTGTTAATTTCCTGATTCTCAAAAAGGTACTCAAGTTCCCAAATATCTATTGAATTATTTTGCAAACTTTTTTAAAGTCTTTAAATTCAGCTTTAGTCTCAGGCTTTTAATTAGCTTCAAAATTTCAAGCCGAACGATTCAAAATTGGAAAAGATCCCAAAAATCAACTTGGCAAACATTTAAAGGGAAAAAATGATGCATCATGAGACATTTGAATTTTTATCTCAAAATCCGATAATAATGATAATTTGAAATTTTCTGAGTTTAAAGAAGAGGGTTAGGAAGATCTTCTACCAAAATTTCAAGCCGATAGATTCAAAATTGGAAAAGATCCTAAAAATCAACTTCAAAGGGAAAAAATGCATTATAACACATTTGAATTTTTATCTCAAAATCCGATAATGATAATAATTTGAAATTTTCTGAGTCTAAAGAAGAAGGTTAGCAGGATATTCTACCAAAATTTCAAGCCGATCGATTCAAAATTGGTAAAGATTCCAAAACTCAACTTTGGTGAACATTCAATGGGGAAAAATGCATCATAAGACATTTGAATTTTTATCTCAAAATCCGATAATGATAATAATTTGAAATTTTTTGAGTCTAAAGAAGAAGGTTAGCAGGATCTTTTACCAAAATTTCAAGCCGATCAATTCGAAATTGGAAAGGATCCTAGAAATCGATTTCGAAAGGAAAAAATGCATTATGTATGAGGTATGTGAATTTTTATCTCAAGATCCGATAATGATAAAAATTTGAAACTTTTGGAGTCTAAAAAAGAAGGTTAGGAGGACCTTCTAGAAAAATTTCAAGCCGCTAGATTCAAAATTGGGAAAGATCCTAAAAATCAACTTCAAAGGGAAAAAATGCATTATAACACATTTGAATTTTTATCTCAAAATCCGATAATGATAATAATTTTAAATTTTCTGAGTCTAAAGAAGAAGGTTAGCAGGATATTCTACCAAAATTTCAAGCTGATCGATTCAAAATTGGTAAAGATTCCAAAACTCAACTTTGGTGAACATTCAATGGGGAAAAATGCATCATAAGACATTTGAAGTTTTATTTCAAAATCCGATAATGATAATAATTTCAAATTTTCTGAGTCCAAAGAAGAAGGTTAGCAGGATCTTTTACCAAAATTTCAAGCCGATCAATTCGAAATTGGAAAGGATCCTAGAAATCGATTTCGAAAGGAAAAAATGCATTATGTATGAGGTATGTGAATTTTTATCTCAAGATCCGATAATGATAAAAAATTGAAACTTTTGGAGTCTAAAAAAGAAGGTTAGGAGGATCTTCTAGAAAAATTTCAAGCCGCTAGATTCAAAATTGGGAAAGATCCTAAAAATCAACTTCAAAGGGAAAAAATGCATTATAACACATTTGAATTTTTATCTCAAAATCCGATAATGATAATAATTTGAAATTTTCTGAGTCTAAAGAAGAAGGTTAGCAGGATATTCTACCAAAATTTCAAGCCGATCGATTCAAAGTTGGTAAAGATTCCAAAACTCAACTTTGGTGAACATTCAATGGGGAAAAATGCATCATAAGACATTTGAAGTTTTATTTCAAAATCCGATAATGATAATAATTTCAAATTTTCTGAGTCCAAAGAAGAAGGTTAGCAGGATCTTTTACCAAAATTTCAAGCCGATCAATTCGAAATTGGAAAGGATCCTAGAAATCGATTTCGAAAGGAAAAAATGCATTATGTATGAGGTATGTGAATTTTTATCTCAAGATCCGATAATGATAAAAAATTGAAACTTTTGGAGTCTAAAAAAGAAGGTTAGGAGGATCTTCTAGAAAAATTTCAAGCCGCTAGATTCAAAATTGGGAAAGATCCTAAAAATCAACTTCAAAGGGAAAAAATGCATTATAACACATTTGAATTTTTATCTCAAAATCCGATAATGATAATAATTTGAAATTTTCTGAGTCTAAAGAAGAAGGTTAGCAGGATATTCTACCAAAATTTCAAGCCGATCGATTCAAAGTTGGTAAAGATTCCAAAACTCAACTTTGGTGAACATTCAATGGGGAAAAATGCATCATAAGACATTTGAATTTTTATTTCAAAATCCGATAATGATAATAATTTCAAATTTTCTGAGTCCAAAGAAGAAGGTTAGGAGGATCTTTTACCAAAATTTCAAGCCGATCGATTCGAAATTGGAAAGGATTCTAGAAATCGATTTCGAAAAGAAAAAATGCATTATGTATGTATGAGGTATGTGAATTTTTATCTCAAGATCCGATAATGATAAAAATTTGAAACTTTTGGAGTCTAAAAAAGAAGGTTAGGAGGATCTTCTAGAAAAATTTCAAGCCGATAGATTCAAAATTGGAAAAGATCCTAAAAATCAACTTCAAAGGGAAAAAATGCATTATAACACATTTGAATTTTTATCTCAAAATCCGATAATGATAATAATTTGAAATTTTCTGAGTCTAAAGAAGAAGGTTAGCAGGATATTCTACCAAAATTTCAAGCCGATCGATTCAAAGTTGGTAAAGATTCCAAAACTCAACTTTGGTGAACATTCAATGGGGAAAAATGCATCATAAGACATTTGAAGTTTTATTTTAAAATCCGATAATGATAATAATTTGAAATTTTCTGAGTCCAAAGAAGAAGGTTAGCAGGATCTTTTACCAAAATTTCAAGCCGATCAATTCGAAATTGGAAAGGATCCTAGAAATCGATTTCGAAAGGAAAAAATGCATTATGTATGAGGTATGTGAATTTTTATCTCAAGATCCGATAATGATAAAAATTTGAAACTTTTGGAGTCTAAAAAAGAAGGTTAGGAGGATCTTCTAGAAAAATTTCAAGCCGATAGATTCAAAATTGGAAAAGATCCTAAAAATCAACTTCAAAGGGAAAAAATGCATTATAACACATTTGAATTTTTATCTCAAAATCCGATAATGATAATAATTTGAAATTTTCTGAGTCTAAAGAAGAAGGTTAGGGGGATCTTCTACCAAAATTTTGAAGTTGATTTGAAACTCCAAATTAAATTTAGAAGCTTTTATACGTTAATGTATGCAAAAATGATTAAAACCTACAAGAATCACTTGTGCAAAGTACTTCTAATGATCACTGTGACATGAAATGTTCAGGATTTATGAATTGAAGTTTCCTCTTTGTGGAAAAGTCAATTTGAAGCTCCAAATCAAAGTTGCATGAAAAAACTGTAGAAATGTGCTGACCTGAAAATTAGTGAGTTTTTGAATTACTGAGTGACAATTCTGAATGAAAAATGAATAAGTTATTGAACTATTGAGTAAATTTCATATATCAGGAGTTTCTGAACTACAGAATCTAGAATTCCACTGAAATCCCATATGCTTGTACACTATAATTCCAAGGTGGTTTACCTCTTGTAAATTCCTGATTCTCAAAAAGGCTCTCAAGTTCCCCTATATCTATTGAATTATTTTGCAAACTTTTAAGCTTTTCAAAAAGAAGTTTTTTAGGATTTTTGTCACATCCTAATAGTCTTTAAATCAAGCTTTAGTCTTAGGCTTCTAATTAGCTTCAGATTCAAGTTATGGATTTTGCATGAGACATTAAATATTTTTGTAGTTTTCAGGTAATTTTTAAATTAGGAACTTTTGAAATCTTGAAATTGAAATAGTCAAGGGTTTAGTCTTAGTTTTAAAGAATTCCATTTTGAAGTGTTTTTTACTGTTGTGTTTTTATAAATTCATCAGATTTGAAACTCTTTTGAAATCTTTAAGGCCTTTAGAGTCCTTAGTCTCAATTTATAATCTATCAAATGCTCTAAATTATGAGCAGATTTTGCAAAGTTTTCCATGCTTTGTGTCTTTAGAGTCTTTAATTTATGAACTTCAATAATTCTTAAATGAGCAATCGCTTTCAAGAATAATATATTTTTGCCCAAAACTATAATCGCTCTGCTCTACATTAAGTTTCAGTCACATTGTCCCCCTTTGTACTTACTTTTCATGTGATTTTAATAATAAATTCTAAAAAAAAGTATTTTTATGATATGCCCTTCGTTGTTAGTACATATATTTTTTGACAGTTTACTATACAGAAACACAAATAATCAATTTTTACCTTTTACTACATTATTTTATTTTGGTTTTGCAAGCAACAGGTATTACAAATTACAAGAATGTTCTACTGTTAGGCCATTTTGTTATCGCTTAACTTTGGTTCTCTATATAAAAGAAGGAATGGATTAACATTTCACAATATACCTACTTAAAAATTAAAAATAACTCTTTTCGCTAATAATATTATAATAAAAATATTCTTCTCCTACTATTTTTAAACTCTGATATCTTTAACAGCGTTTCGTTACACTTTTCGGCTTCGTTCACCCTGAAATAGACTCTTAAACATAACAATATGTTTCAGAAAAGCTAAAAAATCGACAACAATAAAATATATCTCGGTCCATATAATTCTCTTTTAGTTAAAAATACGAAAATATATATAGATATACATGTATATAATATAATATGTTTATTTCGAAATTCGTTTTAAGCTTAGAATATACCGGTTTTCGCTATAATGATGTTTGAAGCTACACATAAAAACATCTAAATACACCAATTTATCAATATATTACTTATTAAATCTAATAACCCACCAAAAAAATAAATAAATGCCCATACACATTACTAAAATCTACTAGATTTTTTTGATTTACTGAAGTTTTCCGCATTTAACAATCAAAATATTTTTAGTGGGTTTCCCAGCCGTATCCCCATAGGTACTAATTTTCTCAACTAACTCTAAACCTTCAACGACGTGCCCGAAAATGCCCGTAAAACCTCTCATCTCTTGCAAAATTATCCTAAACTGCGACCCAACCATGCCCAAATTGTCGTGACGCTTTTGTGTTCTACGCATCCCAACCGTGCCCCTTGAAGCAACCAATTTGGTATCGTCTGGCAAAAAATACGATTCTTCAAAGATTGACCTGCCCCCTCTGCCATTGTTTAATTCAAAATCCCCTGTGATTACACTTTCGCCCTCCCAACATTGAAATATTGTGCAACCCTTATAACCCATCCCTGCTTCGCCTGTGGTTAAAACCCCAAAGTTTTTGGCCATTTTTGGTGCCACATCTGCTCTGACTTCAATTACAATTCGGCCCATTTGAGTACCATTTACTTCAATGTTGAAGTAATATAAAGGGCACACATTTGAGGGTTGTCGCATGTTGATGTTTTTAGGTGTAGCTACTAGTTGTTGAGAGTAGTTTAAAGGAGGTTGATTGTGGTTGTGGTTGTGATATTCAAGAATTCCATTGGAAGGTTGTTGTTGTTTGGATAAAACATGACGGGAATAAAGTTGAGACATGCAATAGTTGGCCAGGAATAGGATCGGGTTTTGTTGGGAGGCGGTCAGAATGCCTCGCGATGATGCTGAGTTACCTGGATAGACAGGTTCGCCGTTGTGGATGTTGCTCAGTGCCTGTTTAAGCAATTGAAAGTCGAAAATCACTGAGGAGTTGCGTATGAGGTCGTCCAGTTGACATTGCAGGTACATTTCGTGATAGCGCAGCTGGAGACGGTGCTTCTCCAAGTTGACGTTCGAGTAAATGCTATGTACGTCGCTGAGCGTGTCCGCCATCGAAAGATTCAGACGAAGTTTCGCTAAAAGATCGCGAGTCTCACCTACAAAAATGACTATAATGACACTAGTTTTCATATAATGTAAACTCTTACCAATTTCGAAATGTGAGACATTATTCGTAAGGTCGGCTTCGACGTGTGTTTTCAACGTTACGCACGCTTCGAGAATTTTCAGCAGGAATTCGCGCTGCTGCATTGCCAGTCTTTGTATCTCGGAAAGCATCTGCAACCAAAACCACCGTGTCAACATTTTCTAATTTCTTCTTGACGAATCCTTACCTTGTTCATTGATGCCAAATCGATTTGCATTTCCGCCACTAAGTGGTCCTTGGCCTCGCCCTGCGACTTGATTTTGTGGGTCACGTGTTCGGTGGTGGCGGCGCATGCGCGACACACAGGCGCGCAGCACGAGTGGCACCACAGGACCAATGGCATCGCGTGGATGTGGCAGTTTTCTGAGCCCATCTGTATATTTAATAATTTCGTTATTAGTTTGCCTGGCATGTTTCGAATTTTTGATGAGCTTGAATTATGAAAAGAGGCCTGTGTGTGTGTGGGAAATCGATACGTTCCAAGGATTGTAGTAATTGAGGGAGCACGTTGATTGAAAAAATGTTGCATGAATCATGAATAAATTGTGTGTTGATTAAATTTTCTTTGTTGATGGTTTTGAGGGTATTTTAAATGTGAATTTCTTCCTCTTCAAAAGGATACGTTTTGCATGGGCCAAGGTCTATAGGTATGATGTGGTTAAAAGTACATTCAAATCCCTGATTATTTTTAACGATTGTCAAATGAGACCAAAAGTACCGGCACTAGGAGTATATTATACTTAAATCTCAAGCCAATCCCTTCAAAATTGAAAAAGATCTCAATAATCAACTTTCGTAAAGATTTAAAGGAAAAATGCGTTATGAGACTTTTGAATTTTTATCTCAAAATTCGATAATAATAATAATTTGAAATTTCCTGAGTCTAAAGAAGAAGGTTAGGAGAATCTTTTACTAAAATTTCAAGCCGATCGATTCAAAATTGGAAAAGATCTGAAAAATCGATTTCAAAGGAAAAAAATGCATTATGAGGCATTTGAATTTTTATCTCAAGATCCGATAATGATAATAATTTGAAATTTTCTGAATTTAAAGAAGAGGGTTAGGAAGATCTTCTACCAAAATTTCAAGCCGATCGACTCAAAATTGGAAAAAATTGTAAAAATCAGCTTTGGTAAATATAGAAAGGGAAAAAATACATTATGAGACATTTGAATTTTTATCTCGAAATTTAATCATAATAATAATTTCAAATTTTCTGAGTCCAAAGAAGAAGGTTGGGAGGATCTTTTACCGAAATTTCAAGCTGATCGATTCGAAATTGGAAAGGATCTTAGAAATCGATTTCGAAAGGAAAAAATGCATTATGTATGAGGTATGTGAATTTTTATCTCAAGATCCGATAATGATAAAAATTTGAAACTTTTGGAGTTCAAAGAAGAAGGTTAGGAGGATCTCCTAGAAAAATTTCAAGCCAATAGATTCAAAATTGGAAAAGATCCCAAAAATCGATTTCAAAGGAAAAAAATGCATTATGAGGCATTTGAATTTTTATCTCAAGATGCGATCATATTAATAATTTGAAATTTTCTGAGTCTAAAGAAGAAGGTTAGCAGGATCTTCTACCAAAATTTCAAACCCATCGATTCAAAATTGGAAAAAATTCCAAAAATCAGCTTTCGTAAATATTCAAAGGGAAAAAAAGCATTATGAGACATTTGAATTTTTAAAAATCCGATCATATTAATAATTTGAAATTTTCTGAGTCTAAAGAAGAAGGTTAGGAGGATCTTCTACCAAAATTTCAAGCCGATCGATTCAAAATTGGAAAAGACCCCAAAAATCAACTTGGCAAACATTTAAAGGGAAAAAATGAGGCATCATGAGACATTTGAATTTTTATCTCAAAATCCGATAATAATGATAATTTGAAATTTTCTGAGTTTAAAGAAGAAGGTTAGGATGATCTTTCACCAAAATTTCAAGCCGATTGATTGAAAATTGGAAAAATCCCAAAAATCTACTATGGCAAACATTTAAAGGGAAAAAATGCATTATGAAACATTTTAATTTTTATCTCAAAATCCAGTAGTGATAATAATTTGAAATTTTCTGAGTCTAAAGAAGAAGGTTAGCAGGATCTTTTATCAAAATTTCAAGCCGATCTATTCAAAATTGGAGAAGATTCCAAAAATCAACTTTCGTAAACATTCAAAGGGAAAAAATGCATCATGAGACATTTGAATTTTTATCTCAAAATCCGATCATGATAATAATTTGAAATTTTCTGAGTCTTAAGAAGAAGGTAGGAGGAACTTTCACCAAAATTTCAAGCCGATAGATTCAAAATTGAAAAAATTCCCAAAAATCTACTTGGCAAACATTTAAAGGGAAAACATGCATCATGAGACATTTGAATTTTTATTTCAAAATCCAATAATGATAATAATTTGAAATTTTCTTAGTTTAAAGAAGAAGGTTAGGATGATCTTTCACCAAAATTTCAAGCCGATTGATTGAAAATTGGAATAGATCCCAAAAATCTACTATGGCAAACATTTAAAGGGAAAAATGCATCATGAAACATTTTAATTTTTATCTCAAAATCCAGTAGTGATAATAATTTGAAATTTTCCGAGTCTAAAGAAGAAGGTTAGGAGAATCTTTCACCAAAATTTCAAGCCGATCAATTCAAAATTGGAAAAGGTTCTAAAAATCAACTTTGGTAAACATTTAAAGGGAGAAATACATTATGAGCCATTTGAATTTTTATCTCAAAATCCGATAATGATAATAATTTGAAATTTTCTGAGTCCAAAGAAGAAGACTAGGAGGATCTTCTATCAAAATTTCAAGCCGATCGATTCAAAATTGAAAAAGATCCCAGAAATCGATTTCAAAGGGAAAAAATGCATTATAACACATTTGAATTTTTATCTCAAAAGCCGATAATAAGAAAAATTTGAAACTTTTCAAGTCCATAGAAGAAGATTAAGAGTATCTTGTATTAAAATCTGAAACTGATTCTATTGGAACACCTGTTGTCAAATAAAATCTAATAATGGAGCTGTTTTTAGAACAAACCAATGTTTTGTAATTCCATAGATAGATGATGTAATGAAGAAGCTTGTGGAAAGACATTTCTAAGGAAACTCAAGTAAATTTTTGTCAAACACATAAAGAAGTTTCTGATGCAAAAATCTGGAAGATAGTTTTCCTCTCAGAAAAACCTGTGACTTAGACAGCGAATAAAGGTATTGATTTAAGAGCCTCAATAATTGATTAAAGACAATTTGGCGGCACATAATAACAAAAATAAGTTTTTATTGTATTTTTTAATTTGACAGTAACTTTACACTGTTCTATTATCACTAACAATTCTATTCTTACTTTTGGTGTTAACGTCGTTTTATCGGGTGGCGGTTTGATGCCACCGAAACTCATTTGAGAAAAGTTCTTGGCCAAACATAAGGCCGGCGTGTAGGTGGGCAACGATTCGGGCCCCGACTCTCCCAGCTCCGTCCTTTTCCAACAGTAGACGCAGTAGAGTTCCTGTCCTTTGGCCATCAGAGTCGTACGAGTGCACTGCAAACAAAAATAGTGCTTGCACGAGAGCAGTTTCGGACTCAGCTCGGTGTCGTTGAATTTTTGCTTGCAGTACCCGCACACCATCAGCTCTTCGAAGTCTGACACTATCGGATCCATTTCTGGAATTTTCAGTTATTTAATTATCGCTTGAGAAGTTTTTAATTCTAACAGAAAAGAAGTAAGGAAGTAGACAAGGGGTTTTTCACCTAACAAAATTTGTAAATTGATTAACAGTACTAACTAAGATATTTCCATGTATTAACAGATATTTCTATGTACTTAATAACAAGTTATTGCTAACTATTTGCCAGGTATTTTTCTACTATTATCACATATCACCAGGTATTGCCATGCTATTGACAGACTAAAATCGAATATTTGTCTTGCCAGAATTCTAGGTATTGACATATCCACAGGTATTTACATGTTATTAATGGGTATCAACCAATGAAATTTACAAGTATTGACATATTACCTACATAATTAACAAGTAGGTATTGCATCGTATTGACACTATTGACATGGTATTTACCTGGTATTGACATATATTAACTAGTGATTTGTACACCGATTAACAAGGTGAAAAACCCCTCGGAAGTAGTGCAAAGTTTCAGGAAATTTTGTGAAAATCTGCAAAAATATAGGAAGCAAATTCAAATGAACAGCAAAAGACCATCTTCTTTATTGTCTGGTGCATTTTCTTCAAGATGTTTATACCTAGTTGAATGCAATTTTCAAAAATATCAAATCAAATTCATTACAGCGTAACTGGAAAGTATAAATTATGGTGTGTGTGTATGTGGTAAAAATACATTTTTTATGACTAAGTTCAATGTAAATATTTTACTTTTGAAAAAGATTTTCTGCCAAGAAACACACGCTTCAAGCTTGACGAAATATCGTCCCTGCTGTGTTTCAAGATAAAAGATAACGGCCAAACAAATATCCGCCCCCTTATCGCGTTTTGGTATCTATTCTGCCTGTAACCATTTATTGTATAACAATATAAATAATTAATTTATTATTTGGTAAAATTCCTAATAAAACCCACAGAAGCGTGAAACCTTGACATTTCGACCTGCAACAGCGCAAAAAAAAAAACTGACTGAAAACCACTATAAAGTAAATAATTGCCAAGGAGAGACACGTTAGTTGAATCATAATTAGGACATGCGCGCCAGTGATTGTTTATAGGAGAAATTGTTTTTATTTCATTTTAAATAGGTAGTTTGTAGGCCAATATTGATAGAATAATAATTGATTTATTTTCGTTTTTGATTTATTGAAATCAATTTTTCTGTTTCAACAACTAATCAGAAATCAGACTTTTCTATTTCAATTTTGAATTTCAGAGGGCTTTGCTGCCTTATTAAAGAAGGATTGGAAACTTTAAAATAATCAAAAACTTCTTCAGTTTAAATTACAACTTTAGAAGAGCCTCGAATGAGATTTTTATGCTTTTGAAGTTGAAGTTTCAATTCTAGGAACGTCAGTATTACAATTTTCACACTTTTCTAGTTGAAATTTGTTCAAATGAGCTTTAAAATGGTCAAAAATCAGACTTGTATACTTCTCTATTTCAATTTTAGATTTAGGAGAGCTGGGACATTAATTTTCATGCCTCATTGATTCAAATTTTAGCTCAAGAAGTATTGGAAACTCTGTAAATTTTAGTTTAAATTTCAATTCAAGAAAAGCCTGGAAGGGGATTTTTATACTTCTAGTTCAAATTTCAATTCTTAAAGTCTTTATCATGCTTGCCTAATTAGAGAATGTTTTGTCTTTCATCAATGGTACCTGATTCTCAAAATAAGGAAATAGGTGACAATGTAGTTTTTTTTCTTTGTTTCTCATACTAGATTTTCTATGAAACCAAGAAGGACTTGTTCCTTATTTGAAGAATGAATGATTCTTGTGTAAATCGTACCAGGAACGATTTTTTTTGGAAGTCCATTCCAGTCAAATTTTTTCAATTTCCATTTTTTCCTTAAGTTCCATATTATCAATATTATTATTATTATAACATTAAAGATCTCTAAAACTTGGACAAAAATTTTCCAACAATGTATCCAGTTTCTAAAACACTGTATATTCGAAATTATTATTTTTTCTACTCTCAAAGTGAGAGCAGCTAGAGAGGTATCCATATTGATAAGGAAAAACTGGAAAAACGAAATTAATAACTGGAAAGCTGTAATTGAAAATATCATAACGGTCAACTTGAAACTACATAGTTATAACATCATCATTATAGCAGCCTAGACTCCATCAGAAGACAAATTGGATGAAATCCTAATACACCTCTTACACCAGTTACATTTAAAAATTTCGACGAGGAAAAAAAATCCAAAACAAAATGAAATCTCATTTTTGATTCTGAACATTTCTTAAAATCTTGACACACTCATGAATAATTGCCCATTTCTTCAATGACATTCGAGCAAATTAGCTACAATCATAGATTATTGGAAAGAGTATTAAATTCTCTTCAAAACTGTGCTAAATTGGTTCCAGTATCTCAAAGGGTTCCTAAGCTAAAAACTTTCAAAGTGGGACTTTAATCAAAATTTTGTCCAAAACTTCAAACTCAATTTTCTCAAAAACTATAAACGTTAGCGACTTCAACTAAATACCATCTGAAAGCCCTTATCAAGTGCCAGAAACCCTGAAAATGTTGTCCCAGTACTCCTCCTGGTTACCGAGATATCGAGGTTTGAAGATTTGCAAATAAAAATCCAAAGGGGCTAACCTTAAGAAAAAGTGCAAAAAATTGAAAATTTTTATTTTTGAATTTTTCTCAATTCTGACTTAGAAATCGATAGAGAGGGTTCAAATTAGTCAGAAACAACTCTTACATCAGGTAAATTTAAAAATTACGATGAGAAAAAAAAATCCAACAGGAAATCTAATTTTTGACTCTGGTCATTTTTTAAAATCTTGACACGCTCATCAATAATTGCCCAAATCTTTGATGACATTTGAGCAAATTAGCTACATTCATAGATCATTGGAAAGAGCATTAAATTCTCTTCAAAACTGTGCTAAATTGGTTCCAGTACCTCAAGGGGTTCCTGAGCTACAAACCTTCAAAGTTGGACTTTATATGTCACGTTTTTATGAACTCTTTTTCACATTTATGAATTCTTTTTTAATCAAAATCAATCAATTCCTGACACTTGATTCTTGATTTGAATTAGAGCAAAAATCCATTCATTAAAGTTACAAATTATTGAAGTTTTCAATAATAAAATGCCATATTTTCTCATTCAAGCGACCCTTAAATGACATATCCATTAAAATTGTTCCAAAAAGAAATAATTCACCCCCGCTTTGCTGCGAGAGGCGATATCGAAACTAACTTGTTGCGTAATACAGTGAAATTCCTGGAATCCGTTTATCGATTTTGAAACGTGGGGGAGGGAATTCGGAGCAACTAGTATGTAGAGGTACAAAATGCTGAATATTTAAACATTGACATTTTGTGTGTTCTTTCCGGGAATTAATTAGTATTGATTTTTGATGTTTCTAATTTTTAAATCAAGTAAAACTTGAGAGGGACAAAAATCAATATTCAATAATGTGAGAGTTAATTGTTTCTGATTACAAAATAACAGGCTCTAGAATGTATTAAATAAGTAACAAACACATTGTTGAAAGATTCCCTAAAAAAAAAAGACCATGGTAGATCGATGTCATAATCGACTCGCCATAGAGGTCCCATATTTCCCGAATAAGTTAATACTGAATTTTGAAAAGTATTGGCACAGTCGTATGCATAAAAAATGCGTGTATAATAAAAATGAGACGTATGTATGTTTTGCCATGTAACAAACATGACAATAATAATATCTCTCACTCTCTTTGTACGCTTTCATTATTCATATCGCCATACTTGTACCATAAATTCAACCATAACTAATTATATAAAATCAGAATTTGTAAGATTATCCACTTTTTGTCAATTTGCCTTTTAACAGGAATTAGTAATGCTACTTTACCATACTAGTAACATAATGTGACAAGTTATTCAAGTTCAAATGAGTGAATTGTTGCGGAACTTATGGGTGGACCTCTGCGGAACGAGCGCAGCGAGTTCCGCAACCATCTATTCATCAATATGTTGTTTAACAATAATTCAGTTATTTGTACTTTGAAAAATAACTTATTATGCATATAAAATGAAAATTTGTAAGATTATCCATTTTTTGTCAATTCGCCTTTCCATAGGAATTAGTAATGTTTCTTTACCAAATTAGTAACATAATGTGACAAGTTATTCAAGTACAAATGAGTAAATTGTTGCGGAACTTATGGGTGGACCTCCATCTATTCATTAATACGTTGTTTAATTACAATACTAACCTGACTGACTTAAATGTGAGTTATTCTCATTAGTTTGAAAAGTACACGTTTCAGGTGAGTGTTTTATTTGAATAGTTCAACAGTATATTGGTGAGTAGATGGCTGCGGAACTCGCTGCGCTCGTCCCGCAGAGGTTCACCTATAAATTCCGCAATAATCCACTTATTTGTACAGGGTGTTTTTTTTTATATATTGACACCCCACCTACAGCCTTTACCTTCACAGATAGAAGAAAGGTGTAAATACAAAAGTTGTACAGTTTTGGCTGAGTTTTTAGAAACCATGGTCAGAAATGAAATTTGAATATTAGAAATGTGAAATTCTTTATAATTCAGTTTGAAATCAAAATTTAGCCAAAAACTCAATTTTCTTGAAGACTTGAACATATTTTCCAATACAAGTTTTTTAGAGCTCAATACGAACTACAATTCCCTTAGAGCTCTGTATAATTTGACAAGAATTTTTCGGAATCCACTTAAAAATTCACCGACATTTCATGTGAGGTTTTATTGAAATTTTATGCTGATATTTTATGTAATTCCATGGGAATTTTGCGAATATTCCATGTAATTTCTCAGAATCTACAGAAATTTCCTAGAATTCTACTGAAATTCCCATTTTTTAAAATTCCTTCGATATTTGTTAGTTCCCGATCACACTTTGTACATCGATTTCGGAAATCGCAGGGAACTTCAACAGTTTTTAAGGGATTTCGGATGTTTGACTTTAAAGCCGTATACGGATTTTAAGAATTTCG